CAAAACAAGCGACGTGCTGAAGAAGAGCCAAATTAAAAGTACCCGTAACTGGCGAGCGTGTATGAAAAGATTGATGAATGTGGAAGAAGCGAAAGAGGTTTGTTTGAATCGAAGCATTTGGCGTTCCATTGTTTCTACCTACCCTAATGGAAGACAGACGTGACAGATATGTATGTATGTATGTATGTAAAAAAATTCGGCTTAGTACATAAGTAGCTATTTTACGAATAATATGCTATAGTCTATAGTAATCACTTTATTGCATTCCTATTTATTTACGTATATGTATATTAAGTAAATATATATTATTTATTGAATGCCTTACTTCATTGGATTAGAAATTACTCAATGTCTATATATAAATTTTCATTAACAATCAAAACTGCATACTCATAAAACTGTACTCATAAATATACCAGTTGTAACCAAATCGTAAATCAAGCAATATATAATAAAAATATGCAATGAACAAATCAACTAAATTTATAACAGTCAACATCTCGTAAATCTATAATTGAATTAATCGGGTCCGACTCAAGTTAATCGAATTTAGTGGTTGCCCAATGAATGTGCCACTAATGATAACGTGTGCCTCGACAATTATAAAGCGCCCCATCCCTATTCAATCTGACCGATTGTACTTTTCGAAATTTAAAATTTGAATGTTTCTTTTCTAGAAACAAATAAAAGAGTTTTTTTTTTTTTATTTGATAAATAAATGTTAATATTTGGATTCTTTTTCATGTAGTATCTATGGTAATAATGTAAATGTATTACTCACATACAGCCCTAGTGCTTTTTTTTAAACTATTTACTCAGTGGTTTACACTTGTTTAATTCTTAACTTGCAGTATAAAAACAAAATTATATGCTGGTTCAAATAAAAATATCAGGTAATAGGTCAATAATATTCACATAGGAGTGTTAGACTTTCTTGGCGTTAAATACTACATAAGTCATATTATACCTTTAAGACGTCTCGTCGTCCATAGATACTTTTTATATTAAGAAAAGTCAAATAGTGAATTGTGTTTTCTTTTTTTTTTTGTGTAGTTTTCTATTTGGCTCTGATACTACCCACTTACTACTTCTTATGCTTATGTGTTAGGTTGACTGGAAGAAATCTCTTTTAGAGATAAGTTCGCCTTTGCTTATTTATTTATTTATTTATTACATCTACTGGATGAGCCTTACAGTCTTCCAATACGCTCACCCAGGAAATCATCAGTACAATAACATATTTAAAAAAGGAATAATACACATAAATAAATTTAATTTCTAAATTTCTGCACACTAACACCTTGTGGTCACTCGAAGAAACTCCGGTTATTGTTATTTGAACTATTTTGTTACTAATTTATTATTATTACTGAAAATTTTAGTGCAATCAAGAATATATATAAAAAATTTTACTTATTATCAAGATTACAATTGCAATCTTTACTTCATAGAGAGAATTCGATTTAATATTTTTTTTTAGATTTGAATTTCGGATACAGACTAGGTACAGAATTTTTTTTTTTCATTTGAGAACGAAATGTTAAGTATCACACACAAACCCAAGAGGTTTAAGTGGTACTAAAATCCATAGTTTTTTTTAATGTTAGTTAAATAATGCATGCTTTGTACAAAAGTCGATTGCTTGGGTACCTCTGTCCCATTCGTGTTTCAACCATGAAGCAGCTGTGTTTGCATGTCTGTGTTACGGTTTGAAGGGTGGGATATGGCGTGAATTTACTGGGTACAGAGGAATAACACCTGAGTCCTCAGGAATGGCAACGCATGGCGGGTATCATGGGCGAAACAGTATACTCTGTTATGTCCATGGTACTGCTCATGTCTATAGGCGACGGTTACCACTTTCCATCAGGTGGACCGTCAGCTTGTTTGCCATTCTAAGTTGTATAAAAAAAATATGTAGTTTATAATTTATTTTACAGCTAAAAGTAACTAATGATCACTCTACCACACCAATGAAATTGATTAAAGAAAAATTTAAACTGTCTGTCTGTATATTTGATGACAAGCGTGACCGATTGCAACAAAACAGTTTTTAATTGCATCAACATTTTATAGCAATGTTCACATTAATATTCATACATCTGTTTGTGTGGCGAGTTGCAGCGGTGACGAATGTGATCCGTGACCGATTTATGACACGCATTGCTACTTTTTATACAACTAGTGAACCCACCCAGCTTCGCACGTGTAAATGGAATTGTATGGCGTGTAAATGAAATAACAATACAGCCTTCTACTCGTATAGGTGAAATATTTTTTTAAAATAGATTACAATGTAACAAACAATCAAATCTTTGTTTATAATATCAGTACAAATAATTATAATTTTTGGAGCAATTATATTTATTTAGATTTTGTTCCGTAAGAAAATACATTATATATTTGAAATTTTTTTTTATACAACTCAGAATGGGAAACATGCTGACGGCCCACCTGATGGAAAGTGGTAACCGTCGCCTAAAGATATGAGCAGTACCATGGACATAACAGGGTATACTGTTTCGCCCATGATACCCCCCATGCGTTGCCATTCCTGAGGACTCAGATTTTATTCCTCTGTACCCTGTAAATTCACACCATATCCCACCCTTCAAACCGAAACACAGCCATGCAAACACAACTGCTTCACGGTTGAAAAACGAATATATTTGAATCATAACAAAAAAAAATGACTAGTAATCTCGATATTCCCATATTTAAAACAATAAAATCATAGATTAAGGATAGTCATTTTATTCAGAATCTTTTTAAAAAGCTTTTTGTACCATATTTTATTGGGCAACAAAGATATAAATCGTCTACCTATCTACAAAGAACAAGGAAGTGTCGCCTGGAATTTACAATTTATTTATAAAAAGACTTATGTACATTGTGTAAATAAATAGTGCTACACCTGTGTGCCTGTAACTATAAAAAACTAACAATTTATCATATATTGGGTTTGCTGGAAATTTCTTTCCGAAATAAGTTCGCCTTTATGCACTATTATGTTTAATTGTTGATCTAATATAATGTATACAATACAGAATAAAAAAATAATAAATCTACGAAAACGTAAAATTTATTATTTACCTGTGTTTGAAAAGCAAGTAAAAATGGAAGGTAGTAGAAATATATTAATGATATACACTGATGCTTGGTACTATCATTTCTTACGAAGATTTATATAAATTACGGATGAAATAATTTTCTCTGCATTTACGAAGAACTAGTTGTAACTTATGACTAGGCTGTATGGGGCATGCTCTTTGCCTGTCCAATTTTGAAGGAATTTTAAAACAAGAATTATTTGTAAAATGTAAAATAAATTTAGTAGAGTTATATAAACAGAGATTATTATAAAATATTACTATAACAGAAACTATAATATATTAAAACATAACCTCTATACTCGAGTAAATCCTATTAATTGATAAAATACTTATCAAAACGGTTTGAATTCGATTTATCGAAACGAATTTTAGTTACATTGTCTACCATTTTTTTTAATATATCGACAGATGATATCGTGAGCTTACGATTTCTTATGTCAATCCCATATAATTTCTACTGTTAATTTATCGAATCGATTAGTAGAATAAATTAATAAAGCTATGACGTGGCGTACACACGTACCTCTTCCTTCTGGGAAACGCTTAAGAAAACTTTTGAAGTGTGAGAATTTCTAAGTTAGAAATGCCTTTTGTAATAAGTACAATAGAAGAAGAAACTTGATCATTTGCCGAATATTGCTTAGTCGACCTAGGTAGGTATGTACTTCCGAAGTTTTAAAGAGAAGAGGCGCCAGCGGAACCCTTATTAACTTAACGAAGCCTTTAATTGCAATTTCGAATGAGACTTGTATACTTAGGTAGTACTTTTCTCTTTGCGAGGAAACAATTAATTAATACAAGAAAGGTAAAAGTTATATACATTTTAAAAGTGACAATGCCGTTTGTTTGATTAGAAAATGACAGTAAAAACAAGAGTATATTTTTTTTTTACTTTATTAAGAAATTTGTACTTTACCTACTTTATTAAAAAAAATACTTTATTAAAACTGTTATACAATTACATATTATGCCACAAAAAAAAAAAAACAAACCATCGACTTGAATCGCAAAACCATTTATTTCGATTTAATAACTAAATTACTGAACCAGCTTTGATAAAAAATTTATGAGACCAATCTGACAGATAAAAATATTTCCAAATCGGTTTCTAAATGAAGGAGTTCTGAGATAACAAACATAAAAGGCAGCCAAAGCCAAATTGACAACTTCTTCCTATTTTTTAAGTAGTTTGAAATAGGAATTTATCATATATAAAATAAAAAAAAAGATAAAAGATCAGTTTGACGAGACAGCATACGAGACGCGCCGTTATACCTACTGTCTAAAGTAAAAATTTCGGGTTAAAGAAGACTTCCGGATGAAGTCGAAACGATTGTCAGTCACAACAAACAGTCAGTTTATAAAATTCCTGTTAAAAATAAGTATATAGACATAATTATTATACCTATTTAAAACTGTTATTACTCTTTTGTATAAAAAAAAAAATAACATTAAACAGCGCTGTAATGAAAATACTGAATATAAGGCATTAATTCCTTCTATATCCAGCTGTGAACCTATTAAGCACTCATTGTTTTATTTAATTTCCATATTTTTAGAAATAATTAATTATTATATATATAATTTTATATATTATAATATAATATGTAAAATTATATTAGCAAAGTTTAAATAAATCAACCAATAGTGCCACCTATGTCCACTTTAATGCAACTTAATACTAAATAAATTCACAACAGATGGCAATACAATCGAATAAACATTTCACATTCAAATAAAATTCATAAGTATTAATTTTATTATAAACTAACGCTTTTTATGCATTCTACATTTACGTGTAAGATTGTAATTCACTTATGTTTCTATTTCAACATTCGGAACAACACTGCATTACAATTTGACAATGACAATTCATTTGAAAAAATTTTGATTTGACATTTCTAAATAAACAAACGTTACTAGCGCGTAAACCATATCGTACGAATCCGTATCGATTTTAATTGTAAACAGTCAGTAACACTGCTACAATTTATGTATTTTGTAAATAGTTACATATCGTAATTTGATCTTTAGCAAATAACATAGCTAGATGTCAACACAGTCGAAAACAATGCCTATATTAGAGTTAAAAGTTTACGTGAGAGTCGTCGCTGCGGTGTTCTCAGTAAGTAAATATAAATATCAGTTTACTGTTCCGCATACACATGTTTACCTTTTACAAAAACTTGATGATACAGGAGTAACGTTAAAACAAGTTTTAACGTAGGTGTTTTTAGCTAATATCTTGCAATTACCCCCCAATTTTGCCTCAAGCTTTATCAAAGATTTTTTTCTTTCTTTTTTTTTAATTCTTTTTTATTTTTAGAGAATTTATTTCTATTTAAATAGATCCCATTATTATCTTTGTCTCTTTGAAATTTGTATATCAAATTATGTTATTATAAATAATCTGTAGTAACAAAATTTTATTAAAATAATAAGTACCTATCCACCTATTATTTGTTCTAGATGTAAATATTGAATGAATGTCCCAAGCAGTCTTTAAAACTATAAGTCACAAAATTCTAAGAACTACCAACAACTAAAAAAAAAAAATAGTAAACATGGAAAATTCTTGTAACATAATTTGATAAAAAAAAATATAAGGGTCAATGTGAACCATAAGAGACATGTTATGAGAGATAAAGTATTTATTAAAAGTAATTTTCCATGATACACTTGCATAAAAATATGTTTGTTCAAATATGAGCATTCATTATATTGTACAAGATTGAAAATATTTGAGCTGAGCAAATAAGGCAAGGTAACAGAGTAGCTGTGTTTACATACTACTGTTATCAATAATAAAACTATATCCTATGTTCTATGTACATACATAAGCCCCCCACCTTTCTTTAGAAACTTGAAATCCATTTGCCAAACTTGGTACAATTTGTTAAATGTCTTAGGATATATATTTTTATGCACACAGATTGACAAACTAACGGCCTACTTGATAGAAAGTGGTAACAGAAACATGAGTGGGAATTAGATGCTCATTAGATCACTTTTATATAGTCACCCCCAGTTTCTATCCCTCTTTTTTTTTTCAAATTATTTAAAAATAATATAATTCAGAAAAAAAATTGCTATTTATTTGTTTACTATTATTTCAATACAAAAACATGATGAATGTTAAATAATTGTACCAAGAATAAGTATAAAAAGAAAAAAATTTACTTAGTTTTTTTTTAAGTTTTTTAAGGTTGGCTATCCTTGTCAACCTAATCAATATTTTAAGAGAGGAGGGATTGTTAATAATGGAGACCAAAGCCTGCATTGCTAGCAATATACCCAACTAGGTTCACCTCCACATAGTCTCCCTAGAAACCATAGTGCTGAATTCCAAATATATTCATCACAATGGGCTAACTGACCTGTCTTCATCCTCACTGGTATCTCTCCAGCATATACAGTTAGCACAGGTGGGGTTACCACTCTATCATCACCCGTTAAAAAAAAAATATTTTAATGATTTATCAAAATTTTCAGATATCATCATCAACTGCATTTGTGATGGTGTTGCTTCGTTTATTGTATCCAGATCTGTACTACTTAGAACCATTAGTTGGCAGTGATTTGGGTAAATATTTGTAATAATAAATTATATTAAAACCTTATCTGATAAATAGATAGATAACTTAAAATCTGATGTATGTTTCATCTTGATTCAATGTCTAAAAGTTGTATATTTTTTGAGTTTATTACATCTGAAATCCAGGTGTACAAAATAAAGAGTAAAAAGCTAATTTAGTTTAAGCCATAGCGTCAATAACTAACTGTAACTTAAAACATATTTTAGGATTTAATTTATCCATTTCCCACATTTCTTTAGAATAATTTTTAAAATATGATTGGGTATCTCACTCAAATATTATTTTGTTGTCTTTTTATTTATTTAGTTCTTTTTATATTTTCACAAACTTACACTTATAATAACGGTAAGGTTATTTATGCTTTAAACTTGAAATAATACAGTGAAACTACTTTAATTAGATGTTCAATTCATGTCTATAGGGTCGGTTATTCCATCAAGTTGACTATCAGCTTATTTGGTATACCAAGTCATACAAGACAATACTTTTCCATATTACTGGTTTTTACTACTTTTTTTTCTAATTTTTCATTAAATTGTATCAGATCAATATCTCGTATGACTAACCAATATTATTGGTTTTCATCTTCAAGAACTAATTATCGACCGTTATTGACACATGCTGCAACCTAAGATGAAGCATCATTCTCAACTAAAAAAAAAGTCCAATATTTAAGATTTATGGAGGGAAAGAAATATTTTTATTGAGTACTCACTAAAGATTAAGCATTTTCAATAAATAATTTTCTATAATTCTACCTTCCCATAACCATACCCTCCTTCTATAGTTTTTAAAACTGGAATTAACACTGTGATAGTGTTAAATTTTAATACAGTATTATATAGATAAAATATAATATATACTATTGTTATTATTTAATATTATACAAATTATAATTATGTAAATACTATGATCCTTATTGCTCGAAATAAATTACTATTTTATTCTATTAAAATTATCTCAATATCTCAGCCAGGTTATATTCATTCGTAGATAAATGGATATATAATGTATTTGCATTACCATCACAACAAACATAGACATACATAAAAAGCGATATAAAAGAAATACATATACAATATATATATATATATATATATATATATATATAAAAGAAAAAACATTACGTTTCGTTTCGTGCGTGTGCCATTAAAACACAACTCAGTTCATTGCTTTGCCCTCAAAAGAGCAAAATACTCCTATTCTGGCCAAATCATATCAACCGATAACTTTCCACCACTCTCTCCAAGTTCCCCCACAATGGGGAGTTGGCCAAGCTTGACAGGCAGGTTGGCTGTAGTTAAGCTTTGGTAATATTTAAAGAGGAATGCTGCTGCCCATCCTTCGACTTTGAAGTTCCGTTAGTCCCCTCTTACGACAACAAGGGGAAGGAAGGGGTGGCCCATTTTATGCTATACCGCGACAGCAACCAGGTATATACCTGAATGCCGTCGAACAGACACTATATATTCTGTTTGAATAGATGTTAATGAAAATGTAAACAAACAAATAATTGACAATCTGCTGATATTCAATAGTAGTACAAATAAAAAAATCGCTTAATTGTCTGAATGTTTCGATTTCTTAACAATTTCTTATTGTGTATACTTCTGTATCCATTAAAAAAAAAAACTTTAACGCCATTTCACAAATTTTCCTACTATGTTAATTTACATCTCTTAACACGTTCAGCGCCACGCGTATTTCTACAGCAATCCCGTTCAGGCCACGCGCGCCGCTTCGAAGCGCTGGTACTGCAGGAGCTGGTGTTTCCTATCGTAGTAGAAGGTAGTTTACGTTTGGAACGTGATTCCTATAAATTTTAAATAAATTTTCTGTAATTCCGTAAAATAGTGTAAAATTTTATAGCTCTCATGTTAGGCCGCGTCAGCCATCGGTGTCAGTGACAGCGTCAGACACCGATGGCTGACGCGGCCTAAACGGAAAGTCTAGTGTCAGCCACCGATGGCTGACATGGCGCTCAACGTGTTAAACACCATAACTTATGTACTGAAACCTTAATAAAACTACTTTCTCGTCATCCACAGTAATCCATTACTTCATATCCGGTCTGATGGTGGTGGCCAGTGGCATCGGCTTCTTGAACAGCTGCGTGGTGATGAACCGGAGCGCCGTGCACAACACCGGCCGGAACATCACCACGTGGTTACTGCTGGACTCGCTGTTCGAGACGAGTCGAGTGGTTTACGTGTTCATATGTGAAATAGTACTGAAGGGCAAGGGAACAGTACAGTTGTATGAACTGCTAGTCAGCGCTGCGCAATATTGTAAGTATCCACTCCGACAGCAGGGTTCTTCTATGCTACTTCATAACCTTCGAGAAATGAGCATATTTGTGATGTTTGTGGGTACATCATTAATGTATGACATTTGTAAATGTGTACCTACCTCTCAATCGGGATTTGCCAGTCTGTTGCCGGCATTAAAACGTATAGCTGATTAACTGTGTATATATTTAAAACTATATCCCAAAACAGTATATTTTGGCGACGAGGTATCAAACTCAAGCGTGCATTTAGTCATTTAGTGTAGTGGAAGTAAAATGGCTAGTAGTGGAAGCATGTTCGGTGGCAGTCTCAGCTTCGATCATAGAACGCAAGAATGGAGCATTTTTCAAAGCCGTTTTGTACAATATTGTGCAGCGAATGATATCGACGATAACACAGACAAGGCAGGGATAAAACGCCGTGCGTTGTTACTCACGGCGCTGGCTGAAGATACCTACCGAATAGCGATCGATTTGACCTTCCCGACCTCTGTGGAGGTTATCGACTACAAAGCGTTGATTAAAATTTTAAATAATCATTTCAAAAGTAAAAAAAGTTCCTTTGGCGAGCGACTCAAATTCAACTCGGCACAACAACGACCGGGTGAGGAGTTAGCGGAATGGGCAGCTCGAGTGCGGAATTTGGCTAAACATTGTGGATACAAAACTGAACTGGAAACAATGCTTCGAGATCGTTTTGTTCTCGGTATGGTGCCTTCGAAGGAGAAAGAAAAGTTATTTGCTGAAAGTGTCGAAACTTTGACCTTTAACCAAGCTTTGGAGATCGCTCAAGGTGTGCAGTGTGCGCGGCAAGCATTGCAAGGGGTGGACATGGATGCAAGTGGAAGAGTGCTGGCGCAGCCGGTGTTCGCGTTGCGTACAGAGCGCAGTGAGCGCGGCGGCCGCAGTGGCGACGGTGGCGGCGGCGGCGGCGGGACCGGCGGCGGCGGCGCGCCGCGGTCTGGCTCGGCGCCTGCAGCAACGGCGCGATTTTCGTCGCGAAATGGTGCAAATCGGTGTGATGTGTGTGGTTATAAAAATCATTCAAAAGATAAGTGTCGATATGCCGAGTTCACATGTAGGAAGTGCAATCAAAAGGGACATTTGTTACGGATGTGTAAATCGAACGTAAAAAGTAATTATTTTTTGGCTGTGGATGATGACGACACTGTTAAAGGTTATGATATGTTTAATATAGAATGCATTAATGGTGAGCCGATGCGGCAGGCAGTCGAGATTGATGGTTGCAAAATAATGAGCGAAGTCGATAGTGGTAGCGCTGTTTCTGTCTTGCCTTATAGTATATATCGGTCCGCGTTTGAAAAGAAAAATAAGCTTAAACCGTGTGAAGTTGTTTTGAATTGTTATAACGGGAGCAAAATCTCACCTGTAGGTTACATAATGACTTCAGTCACTTTTGAAGGTCGCATTAAACCAATTAAATTGTTTGTAATAAATACACAAAACAATCAACCAGCCTTATTAGGTCGGGATTTCATTAGCGCATTTGATTTACATTTGTGTAGGGTCGGTTGCAATAATTTAAATGTTGAAAATATTAGTGATTTATTAAAAAAAAAGTTTAGTGATTTATTCAAAGATGAGTTAGGTACTTTTAACAAATATAAAATAAATTTAAAATTAAAATCAGACTCGCCATTAAAATTTTTTAAGCCTCGCCCGGTACCCCTTGCTCTTCGAACAAAAGTAGAAAATGAATTACAACGTCTTTTGGAATTAGGAATTTTAGAGAAAGTAGAATATTCTGATTTTGCCACTCCTATTGTACCCGTTCTTCGGTCAGATGGTAATATTAGAATATGTGGTGACTTTTCAGTGACATTAAATAAGGCTATATATTCAGATAATTATCCATTGCCCCGCATTGAGGATTTGTTTGCTAAACTGCATGGAGGGGTTGAATTTTCTAAATTAGATCTTTCTAGAGCCTACAATCAATTAGTACTAGACGATTCAAAAAAATTTACATGTATAAATACACACAAAGGTTTGTTTATATACAACCGTTTAGTTTTTGGATTGTCAAATGCGCCATCTATTTTTCAACGGACAATGGAACAATTATTATCAGATATCGAGGGTACTTGTATATTTTTGGACGATATTTTAATAACAGGGGCGACTAAAGAGGTACATCTTAAGAGGTTAGAGGAGGTGTTAAGTCGACTGCAAGAAGCTGGCCTACGACTAAAATCTGACAAGTGCGAATTGTTCAAAGAATCGGTGGAATATTTAGGATTTAAAATAGATCGTAACGGCTTACATAAATCGGAAAAAAAAGTTGAAGCAATTTTAAACTGTACAAGCCCAAAAAATGTAAATGAATTAAAATCTTTTTTAGGTATGGTTAATTATTATAGATGCTTTATTCCTAACACTTCTAGTTTATTAAATCCACTGCATACTTTATTGAAAAAAAATGAGAAATGGAGGTGGGATGCGATACATGACGAGACATTTAATATGATTAAAAAGCAATTGGCATCGGAACGGGTGCTGGCGCATTACGATCCAGTGTTAGCCACTGTGGTGACATGTGATGCCGGTCCAGCTGGACTGGGCGCTGTGCTGGCCCAGCGGCAAAGCGACGGACGCGAGCGGGTCGTTGCTTATGCGTCTAGGTCACTTTCCAAAGCAGAACGTAATTACGCACAGATCCAGAAGGAAGCGGCTGCTATTGTCTTTGCTATAAAAAAGTTTCACTACTATTTGTACGGTCGTATGATTCCATTTACGCTTCGCACGGACCACAGGCCACTTTTATCAATTTTTGGAAGTAAGAAAGGGGTACCGGAAATGGCGGCCAATAGATTACAAAGGTATGCCTTATTTTTATCGGCCTACAATTTTAACATAGAATACATTAAAAGCGATCAAAATGTTGCCGATTACCTGTCTAGATCGGTATTACCGGATCAGAATTCCAGTAATAATGTAGAGGACCAAGCTTTATATATAAATTTTGTCACGGATACAATTTTGAAACCAGTGACTATAACAGATATTAAAAAAGCTACAGCTAGCGATAAATTAATTAAAAAAGTAATGGGTTACATCGAAAAAGGGTGGCCTACCAAGATAACCGATCCAGAATTAAGGCCTTACTATAACTGTAGAATAGAACTATCAGTTGAGAATAACTGTTTAATGCGTGGCCATAAATTAGTTATTCCGGCTATTTTTAGGGAACAGTTATTAAACGAATTGCACAATTCACATTTCGGAGTTGTTAAAACGAAAACGGAAGCTCGGAGTCGTATGTGGTGGCCTCAAATAGATAAGAATATTGAGCAAAAAATCGGCTCTTGTAGTATATGCGGCGCGCTTCGAAACGCGCCACCGCGCGCTCCGCTCGCGCCGTGGCCGTACCCTTCGCAGCCATGGGAACGTATACATCTAGATATGTTGTATATAGACGGAAAATATTTCATGGTAGTGATAGACGCACACTCTAAATGGTTAGAATGTTTTTTAATGACGACCACTACTACTGAAATGATTATTTCTAAAATATGTGAACTGTTTAGTAGGTTTGGGTTGGTGAAAACTATAATTACTGACAATGCTCCTAATTTCTGTTCAAATCAATTTGATGAGTTCTGTAACAAAAATGGAATACAACATTTAACTATCGCACCCTATCATCCACAATCAAATGGGCAAGCAGAAAACAGTGTAAAAACTATAAAAAAGGCTTTAAAAATTATATTACAAGAAAACAAAACACAGAAAACTATATTACAACAATTGAATAAATTTTTATTTGATTATAGAAATAGTAGTCATTGTACTACCGGTTTTTCTCCAGCCCAGTTGTTGTTGGGTCGGTCTTTACGTTGTAGACTCGACCTCCTGCTGCACGTGCCAAATGCGGATAGGACAAATAATTTAACAGAGTCAGTATCAGCTACAGCCAATTCTAATGTTGAAAATAAACAGACCTTACAGAGTAAACAATACGGAGGACATCGCAGAACTGATTTCAAAAAAGGAGATAAAGTTTTAGTTAAGCAGTATTATAATAATGGTAACAAACATATTTGGCAATTTGGGATCATATCTAAGGAAATCGGTTCTAGGATGTACAACGTGTTATTACCGGGAAGTAAACAGTATGTAAAGAAACATGTGGATCAAATTTTAGCTTATAGAGGCTCGGATAAAACTTATGAGGTTGATGATGTAAGCATTATTGGAAGCTTTGAACAAGAATATGAGAAGAGCACAGAGGGCCAAGAAGATTGCATATACGAGCAACAAGATCAAAACAGCGATTCTTCATTTCAATCATTACCGGAGAACATCCATAATAGTATGATGTCCAAATTGGGAGAGGAGCGAGCTGGTGGGGAGGAGAGAATATTAAGTGATAACAACGCGTCGAGTCCGATACCTCTAGGTTCGGATCCAGTGCAGCCTCTCAATGTGCCATCAACTGATAATAATGAACACACCTTGCGTCAAAGACCCCTTAGAGCGACTCGGAAAAAAATAAATTATAAATTGTAATTGAGATATTTTAGGCTGTTCATTGTTTTAGATAATTTTATACTACTGGTGGAGGGATGTGATGTTTGTGGGTACATCATTAATGTATGACATTTGTAAATGTGTACCTACCTCTCAATCGGGATTTGCCAGTCTGTTGCCGGCATTAAAACGTATAGCTGATTAACTGTGTATATATTTAAAACTATATCCCAAAACAGTATAATATTCCTTTTTAAAAGGCCGGCAGCACACCTGCAATGCCGTTGGTGTTGTGGGTGATCATGGGTGGCGGTAGTCACTTACCATCAGGTGAACCGCATGCTCGTTTGCCCTGTGTTGTAAAAAAAAATTAGAATGGCAATCAAGCTGACTGTCCACCTGATGGAAAATGCTAATCCTCGTCTATATCGAACACAAGAACAGTATTAGTGCCATGGGCATAACAGAATATACTGTGTCGACCATGATATGCTACATGCATTCCTGAGGACTCGGGTGTTATTCCTCTGCACCCTGTAACTTCACTGCCATATCCCACCCTTCAAACTGAAACACAGCCATGCAAACACAACTGCTTCACGGTAGAAACACGAATGGGACAGAGGTGTCCAAGCAAACGACTTTTGTACAAAGTTACTATCTACCTGTAATCACGTCGAGTTAGCCCCCGATCGTGAATTTAAATTGGAATATGTTGTTTCCAGTGCTGGACAGCTTCCTCTACTGCCAAATGATTCTCAGACACTAGTACAGGCGGGAATTATTCGGTTGACACTGCTATCCATCCGCAGCATGCGGTCGGCTTCCCGTGAGAATTAGTAAGTGTTGTTACATTTTAAAAGGCCTATATTTAGTATAAATAGTATTATTTATATTGACTAAAAATTTGGTTATATTTTTAATTAAATATAATGAAAAGGTTTAGGCGTCGAGTAGACGAGTGACAGCGTAGGCAATTGATCTAATAAATGTATAGAATTTAAGACACCTTTGGAACCAAAACTTCATTTTTTTTTATACGACTTAGAATGGCAAACAAGCTGACGGCCCACCTGATGGAAAGTGGTAACCATCGCCTATAGACATGAGTAGTACCATGGACATAACAGAGTATACTGTTTCGCCTATGATACCCCCCATGCGTTGCCATTCCTGAGGACTCAGGTGTTATTCCTCTGTACCCTGTAAATTCACGCCATATCCCATCCTTCAAACCGAAACACAGCCATGTAAACACAACTGCTTCACGGTTGAAACACGAATGGGACAGAGGTACCCAAGCAATCGACTTTTGTACAAAGTCATATTATATTAATGTCTTCTCATGAACTTTCTCAAGGGACTATATGTTATATCCCTGATGTTACAGGCATCCATAGAACGTTATGAATTATTGCTCAACAGGCAGACTGTATGCCTGATTTAATCCTCATTACATAAAAAAGTAAAAAAAAAAGTGTGGTCCCGGCATAGAATAGGCCACCCCTTCTTTACCCATAGGTGTCGTAAGAGGTGACTAAGGGAGAGCGAGAGATAGGCACCAGTGTCCTACTTGAAACATCTCCAAAGCCTAACTACGGTTGCCAATCCACCTGCCAAGCGTGACAACTACTGGAAAACCCTCCAAGGGAGGTGCTTACATTCAGCAATATTATAATATGATATAATATTTAAAAAAAAGTGTAAATAGACTGTATTTTTTAATTGTGCATCTTGGAAATGTTATATGGTTCCATACATTTGTAAACGCGAAGAAATTGCACGAATCGCCACTCGTAATCTACTCAGCACCTAAGCTGATGCAGCGTCAATTTATAGCAGCTAAATGTTATGCCAATGATTATTGATGCCTTATGCAGCAAATATTTCTTCAATAATCCCAAAGTGTAAATTTAGTAAAATACATCGAAGATCGAAAACTGTCGTCTACCAGGCAGCTTAAATATAGACCTTTTGAATGAATGATGCATCGCAATAAACTATTTTTATAATTTTACGAAACAGGACGGTGAAGGTAACTGTTACTTATTAGTTATTTCACCACAACTGTGATCAAATTAATATATTACGTAACTGGCAATTAATATAGGATCTATATAGCTCGTCAAGTTTGTTTGTGGCAGTTCTGCGGTGGGAAAACGTGCGGTGGAGGGAGGAGAGGTGTATATCTTTTTTTTTTTTTCATTTAAGTTTCCTCTTGTAGGTGCAACTAATTCATGCATTTTCCTCCAGCTACCTCTATCCCATATCTTTGACCTCTCTATACGACATGATACCTAGTATTTTCTTTATCTGTCCCATGTAGTTACTCCTCGGTCTTACCCTTCCTCTTTTGCCCTTTATTTTTCCGTCTGGGCAAATCTAGAGGGCAAAAGGGATATATCTATCGGTGACTAAATCTAAATTGGATGTAAGCAAGACATATTTTGCATGAGGCCCTTTGGTAACAGAGTCAGATTAATAAAATTTAAAAAGTGCAATTTTGGCCGAAAAAAATATTGAATTTTACGAAACGCGATGGTTTTAGCACCTTACGCCGCCTCTGGAGGGAGCACGTTATATACGCTCACGAAAATGCGTTATTTCCAGTTTTTCCACTATACTATTCAAATCTTATTAATAATTCAGTTGACAAAAAATTATACACTCACGAAATAATCATACAGAGTATAAGCAGAGACATCAGAGAGCATACCACTTACATAAAGAACACACAATGTGCATCAAAATTGTCGAGCAGCGTTGATTTTCAGCGAAGATCTAGAAAAATCGATATATTATGCATATTATATCGATATATTATGCATAATCGATATTTTATGCATCTACACCGTTTACCTCTCCGCCCGACCCTCTAGGGAGTGCCACGTACAAAGTTGACTGTGAACGGTGCATTCCAAAGACGACTGTAGTAGTTTGCTAAAAATTAAGTTTCGGTTAATGTACATCAGTTTGTTTCCTATTAGGTGTAGTATTTATATAGAGTGTCTTATGTTTATTTTGTGTGTTAATTAAGTATGCCAGCTTTGAACAGCTAGAATTATGGAACTCAATTCGTAATCTGAATTAGGCCTCTTCTAAAAAATTTTATTTGTTAGTTTAATTAACATAATTTAAAATGTAAGTGAAATTAAAATGATTCTTGTACAGAGAGGCCTAGATTAACGTCATGATAAAATATATACTGTGCCTCCTAATGTCAAAAATGTTATAAGTGTCACAGAATATGTAAAGATGAGAGCTATAAAAGCGAATGAAGCAAGAAATGTGTGTATGAGTCGAGTTCAGTGTCATAATTGACATATTATTGGTGTCTGAGGCCAGCCTTAGGGGTATTTAACCAATGATAAATTATCAAATTGTCACAGATGTTTGTTTGGAAGATTAATAATCTATATTCTCATTAATGGGTAAGTAAAATGTATTATAAGTTTATATTTGTATGAGATTCTTTAACTGTATAACCTTCAAACGCTAAATGAAAAATTATGGATAAGAGTTGGTCTAAAATTACCATTTTTGCAATTCACCTATTTGGCCATTTTCTATAATACTCTAATGAAATGCATGTGTTTCTATCGAAAATCACACTTTTATATTACTAAATTTTTTAAACTCGTTAGCAAAAAAATCACTTGTTAAATACAGCTATCGTGTCAGAAACTGCCAATTAGATGGATTGCAAATATGGACTGTTATGTAATTGTACTAAAATGGCCATTTTAACCGTCTGACAAATAATCTGAGAAATGACACTCACTTTATGGCACCTTGATTCGTAAAACTGTCCCCAATTGCCCCATTTACGATTGCCGCCGTGAATATATATTTACAATACTATATATAGTACCATGGTATCTTTTTTGTCAATATTTTTATATTTTTTTTTTTTCATTTAGCATCTAAAACCCCACCTAGTAAGTTTCATTTTATTTTAGGTTGTAGTAGATTTGAGATTTACAACTGTGATTATATACACAATATTTTATTAATATCACTATTTTAGTTATATTTAAGCTACTGTAATAAATCACAGCATATTTATATACTTGATTTATAATCATCACTTGTAGGAGTAAATGAAATAAATGAAAAACTCTACTCTCCAGGACTCGAACTTGCGTTCTGTCAGTATTACAAAGAGCTATTAAAATAGCCACATTAAATGAATCATATAATTAGCCTGCGAAACGGTACGTACGTGTTACGTACTCTATGTAATATACAAAATATGATTCGCCTAAAGCAGCTATTTTAACCTCCCGAGTCCACTAGCATACAGAGAGCCATTTTTTATTTCAATTCACATGTCACATTTAAAATTGTATTAATTGGCAACAAAAGAATGATGAATTTTCTTTGCTAGTCAAAAATTGTATTGCAATTTTTTATTTACCTCACGTATATTATTAAGATGAAATAAAACAAATTTTTTCATAGTTTATCTTTTTAATCAGTGTGGTCGTCAAAAAATATAGTAAGCAGCTATCAACACTCCAACAGGCTAACAGGTGGCGCTGCGCACGCCCCTTCGCGGCTTGCACACGGCGAATATATGGCACAAGTGTCGTGTATTAAGAAATAATCAAGTTTATAATACATTTTTGTCTGCATTTAGCACGGTTAGTAAAAAATCTTACATGTCTTTTCATGGAATTTAATTATTTGGAAATAAAAAAAGTTCTAATATGATATAGTTTATAATCAATCAATACAAAACTGTCTATACCAATAGGTACCATAGTAAAAATACCTATTTTAATACAGAGGCCTTTTTAACTCTCATGAAGTATTATTTCAAGACACTAAGACACGTTTGATTTTTGTTTACAAATTGTATCGTGTACACAAAAAATAATTAAGTACTTAGTAAGTAATGAGTTTTACTTAGTTTTATATTTAGTAAAATTAAGTAAAAAAAGAAAAAAAATAAGCGAAATATTCGGGACTTGACGTGAAGTCCAAAATTCGAAATATAATAACATTCGTCGAAGCATTTACTTAAAAAACATACATACACACATATATATATATATATATATATATATATATATATATATATATATATATATATATATATATATATATATATATATATATATATATATATATATATATATATATATATATATATATATATATATATTTTTCCTGAAATTACTTCTCCGAGTGCCTTGAGTAAATGAAATCCTAAGACTAACAGGGGTCACATATATAAATCAATATTTACAATTAAATTAATCGATTTATAAAAATAAATACATCAATAAATTGTTTCAAAAACGACAAATCGAGTCTATCGTGTGTATTACTATTTACACAAGATTTAATTTAGGACCCATCATCATTACAATATATTCATTACAGTAACAAGTTGACAAGAACAAAATACTACAATTTAATACTACCCTCATATTTATAAAAAATAAAACCTCATAAACCTACTTTAACTATTACAGTGTTTTGTCACTTTCATTCAAACTGAGAATTAAGCACAAAAGAAAGAGACGAAAACATCTCAATAGTTAAAATATGTTTATCCCTTTCAGACCCAAGATTTTTTTTCTTTCGGATTAAATGTATTTTCGTGTTTCGGAGCCAAGCCATCTTGCCGGCACGCACGAGACTACTACACCACCTAACCGCTAAAATGATTTCTTATTGGCTGGTTTAGAATCTCACTATCATGTTATTACAGCTTCGTGCGTAAAAATGAATTGCGCGCGGTTTTAGAACTTTTTAAAGTTACAACTCACGCCCGTATCGTTCAGGTCTGAAAGGGATATGAGAGTTTATATGATGTATTTACGAATTAGGAGTTAACAGTATAGCGAGAGAAAACGTCAATATTTCAAAGATACGCTTCCAACGACACGTGTGCCATCCGCCCTAATAATACAATGAAGCTACTCCTCACTCGTCGTTGTCCAACAACAAACTTATGATAACACTCAACGAAACCTTAACAATGTACAGTTTTGTTCGATTAACGACCTTATTCAATACGCCGACAGTGCACCGGCCAGTGCATGTTAAATGCACGTAATTAACATAATATATGGTGTATTAAGACGCAGGTTGCGCAAACTCAGGTCAGTATACAATGTCACATTATTTGTATCCAATTTGGAACGTACAGTTAGATTGTCACTGAAATAACTATATATTTTTAATGTCTAAAAATTCTTTGTTTTTTTTTTATATACTAAAATGGTGGCAAACAAACATACGGCCCGTTTGATGGCAAACGGAATTACCGTAGCCTATACAAGAGAAAGACGGTTTCGAAACTCTTCGACATTAGAGAAAGCCACCCTCACACGAGTAGCAAGTGTTGCAATTTTCAAAAATAGAACGCATCTACTTATATAAGATTTGTGAATACTAAAGACAACTTGAAATATACTAGTTATTTATTTATTATTATTTTTTTTTTACAACACGGGACAAACAAGCATGCGGCTCACCTGATGGTAAGTGACTACCGCCGCCCATGGTCACCCACAACACCAGCGGCATTGCAGGTGTGCTGCCGGCCTTTTAAAAAGGAATATGCTCTTGAAGGTTATGTTGTCGTATCGGTTCGGAAATACTGCTGCTGGAAGTTGATTCCAAAGAGTGGTTGTGCGTGGAAGAAAGTGCCTTGAAAAACGCACTGTGGAGGACCGCCATTCGTCCAGATGGTTGGGATGAAATTTTAGTTTATGTTTACCAATAAATAGAACTCAAAATACCTAATTCAAACCCCAATTTATATGTGAGATAATCAGACAACGAGAAGAAATATTTGGAATCTTCTAGAATGTTTTATTTTAGCTTCCTTATCACAGTCATAAATGTTAGCCTAGCAGCTTTACAAGTAGGCCCGATACGATTCTCTTGTGTACATAAAAATCAATTATTTAGTGACAATATTACAATCTTAATTATATTTATTCGTCATACTTATATTTTACAGACTGGTATACTGTTCCTGGATTCAATTTCTGTGACATTAGGATGCTAGTAGATATGAACACTTCGTAGTAACATGATGTCAATGGCCATATTTGGTATACAATGACAGAGACAATGGTGGTAAGGTGGTTTACTTGACAAATCATGTGTTTTTATGATATATAACGATCCTATATATCACTTTACAGATTACTGAACACAATATGATATTAGGTATGTTCATATCTGAGCGCGCCCTTGACCCTTTACACAAAGTCATGTTTACAGTAAGTAATCGAGAGAGAAAAAAATTTTACAAAGCAGCATTGTAGATAAGCAATGTAATTATTACGTTTTACTTATAATTTACCCTGTACATTAGCCTTGTTTACAGAGACGCTTACGTGGATCCCCATCGCGAGTCCCATCTTAGACAACGTTTCATCAGGTGAGACTTATCAATAGCAGGACAGTTAGGGAGAAAGGGATTGTTAGTAATGGAGACTGAGAATAGCTATTGCTAGCAATATACCCAACCAGGTCGACCTCCTATGCGGTTCTCTCTGGAAACTATCATGGTTAATTCCTGATGAATTCATCATGATGGGTTTAACTGGCCTGTTTTCATTCTCATCTATCACCCTTCACTGGTGCTCCGCCAGCGTATCCCGTTAGCGTAGGCGGGGTTACCATACCATTTACACCGATCAAAAAAAAAAAGCAGGACAGTTTCAATAGTAAAAAAATGCAGAGTTTAGTATGATACATAATAGATACATTTTAAACATATAATTATTGAGACCAATACACAGACATATTTAATTTTACTATATTAATTTTTAATATATTGGACATCAGTCGCAAGACTTATAACCAAATGCGTAGAAAAACATGTGATTTAAAAAAAAATCCTAGTCGTAAAATATTTTTATGAGGGCAACACATCTGTCCTCTTAATAATAATAATAAACTCTTTATTGCCTGCAATAGAGATGTATACAAGGAGTATTTGTACAGAACGTGCATATACAAGAGGCTGCCTTATCGCTAAAAACAATCTCTTACAGACAACCTGGCATAAATAGTAGATAAGTACAGAGAGAAAGGTAGATGGCGCTAGTCAGAGTCAATAAATACAAAAAAGAAATCAAACAAAATTCTAAATATTATTTATATAAAAATAAGATTACAATACATATATACATGTAAACATAAATATACAAGAATACTAAATAGATCAAAGTAAATCACATGTAGTAAGCATAGAAGCAAATTAGAGAGATAGGTAATGAGATTTTACCTGCCACTTGAACGAGGCAAGAGATTGTGCTGGTCTAATGGAAAGAGGCGATTAGTGATCTATTCATCATATATAGGCATGTATATAACTGTCATGCCTATAATTACGTGTCATTTTTAATGAGAGATATGCACTTGAAAAATAGAAAGAAAGTAGAGAGAAATATAATAACTCAATCATGACATTGTCAGATATCGAAAACAAAATATAAAATTTAAAAATATACTCTAAAAAGGTGCGTTCTGCACAGTCACTTTCTTCTACAAACATAGATGTAACCCTGGAGCCTCGAAGTACGCATCAAATTTACACCTCTGTAAACAAGGCCTTATAAAGAAATAGAAGGTAATGTATGCATAGCCCAATCGTCATCTTTGATTGCCAGTCAGCAGCGTATCAAGCACTCGCATTACAATACTCGACCAATAGAAAAAATACACGCGAAAAACTTCACACACTGCCGCCTTTAACAATTAAAAAAAATATTTATTACAATAAATATGGCTGTATACGATGACACTCTTGTTCCACTCCCGTATTATAATCATAAAAAAATATAAACCCACCATCGCGCGTATTCTGACGTCACATGTCCGAGCACTTGGATGGCACGAAACTAAAATATATATACATATATATACATATATATATATATATATATATATATATATATATATATATATATATATATATATATGCACTCATCACCTAATGTGTCCACTACGAATAATCACTCTGGTAAACATCTCGAAATTCATTACAACTATTGCTTGATGTACGAAAATACTATATTTTATAGATAATGGCACTTCTAATAATCTGTATTTTTTTTTATATATAGATATATATTATATCTGAAGGAGGAAACATTATATTTATAACACTAATCATTAGCAATATACACTCCTTCAAATGCTAATCTTATTGTACGATTAATCTCCACACGATCAAGTTCAATAGAAATGCATCGTAACTCGAATACAACAGCATTAGTAGAATTTCATTATATTTATTAACATTTCGCGTTCTGTTACTGGGTTTAGAGGACATCACTAAATTCATTGTCACAACCTACTACCGTATATGAATGTACAAGGATCGTGTTCTTACTATATGTATATTACAATATGAGAGATAATTTGAGATCTAAACAATAAGGAACTAAAATTATATCAATAATATGGATACCTAACGATTTCTGTTAATGAGAAAACATTGCAATAAAACTGGATTTGATCGTGGTGTCGTTTGACAGGACTGTTTCCGGGGTCCATTATGACACGTCATTCTAGAATGACAAGTTTTAAAAATAGTGAATGACGTTAACATTAAGCTCGGAATTATCAATCCTTTCAAATAAACGACACGATCGGAACGAGTATTACGAAAAATATATTAAATTTGAATAATTTTCAAAACTAATGAGCTATAATTGTGGATCTAGTCCCAAATAATATTTTCATGTATGAAAACGCGTTCTGACTATACGATGGCATATATTTTCTTTCCTTCTATTACACATAGTATTGAAAATGTCTTAACTGCGTTTATATTTTATATAAACCTACCAGTACCCTACCACAAACATTTCCTGTGGTGAGAACTATAAACACTGTTAAAATACAATTTACGAATTCGTTCTCTTTGAACGAATGATTTTCTTTCCTCTTTTATAATAATCTCATTCATTATTCAATACATTGACTCGCAATCATGCATTTTGCAGTACGAGAAGCCTAACTTCTCAGTGCATGTATTACAACACGCAAATTGCAAACCGTTTACAATAATACAATATTATGTAACCCACACAGGTGCAACGTTGACTAGAACGAAAGAAAATATATTGACTGTTCACCATAGAAAAATTAGCTATCATACACAGCAGTTATCGCGTTGGACTCCTTAGAAACCAAGCGCCATAATGCGTAACAACACTAATGTATCATTCTAATAAATTGCTGATAAATTGAAATTGTCTATGACACGTTTCGTTCACGATCGATAGAATCGATCGATTAAATCAATCTGCTCACGAAAATCGGACTGATTACCTATTCAGAGACAAATTACAGTTCGATCTACTCTATCGATCGTGTGTCGATTATAAATAGTGTTGTTCGCAGACATGTTAATATAAAACATTTCCTAACAGAAAACTCAACCAGTGGCGGCAGTCTAAACAGACAGTGACCGTCTATTGACCGATTCCAGTTGTTAAATCGTGACTAGACAAATATCGTCATAATCGTAGAATACTGACGGATCTGACAAATATATATAGATCCGTCAGTATTCTACGAAGCCTGGCTTTTTTATAATGTTTTTTTTTTATAATTTAAATGAATATTTTGATCTTAAAACTCATTAAATTAATAATAATTAACATGTAAACGAAATTATGTCTACTTTATTTTAATTTGGTTATGTTTACTCTTTGTCTTGTTAATTGTATTGTCAAATATTTCATATTTATTTGTAATCGAGTAATGGTAATAGCATTTGAATGTTTCGATGTTAATATAATTACCTGTTCTTAAATTGTAGCATGCCCGATAGGGTATAACTGTTGATACTGATGTCAAATCCAAAGCAATGGTTACTGCTATATGTATGTACACAGTTAGCAATAAAATTATATTTTATTCTATTCAAACTTAGATGCAGGTAACCTAGATGTGTTAGAAGGAGATTTGCAGTCGATATTCAGACTGGCCGGTACGCAGATGAAGTATATTTGAAAAGAGAATATACTGATGTTTACTGGGCATTTGGTATAAAAATTTATAAAAGCTATATCACAATTTATTCACTGTGATTTTTATATTAAGTTTAATTTATATACAATCTCTTTTTTCGTATATCTATATTGTTTGACAAAGAAATGGAAAACGTCAAAAAACTACCAACAGTAATTGTTAGTTCACGCATACAATAGAAAAAAAATGGACTGTTTTTAGTAAAACGATTATGGTCACTATCTACATATCTTTAGCGTAAGTAACGCGCAAGTGTAATCGAATAATTACGATTCAACAACTGATATTGATCGATAATCGATCGATAACTATCGAGACATGCCGGCACAGTCGAAGAGTGGCGATACGAAACGTCACGTACGAACAGCTAGGGGGATATGTCTCAGTATCCTTAACAGTGTAACCTATATATTATCTACACTAAAACAAATATTAACACACTACACTAGTTACTAGCCTATCTCTATGTCACCGCACAATTCATTCACTAATCTTGTGACACTAGTTCGAAAGAAATCATTCATCAGTCCATTAATGGCACGTCATTTTGGCCAAAACTGGTATAAATGCAAAAAGCCAATTAAAAAATAGGCCGATTTAGAGATCGGCGACTCAAAACGAGCCACTCCGATTTTAGGAACGCTGTACAATTGGCACCCCTATTGAAAGCACCTCGTATGGAATACATTTGCGGGTACAAATGATAGTGGACGACAGCGTTATGTATGATGCAGTGATATGACTGCGTATTCCTTAACTAGAAAACGTAAAAGCTATCAAATATGGACTATATTACATGAGAGAAGCACCCAATGTATTGATAGTTGCAGTTGTTCTGCACAATATGAAACACCGCATGTCCTTGATATCGACAGCCGTTCGACGCTCTCCTAGTTCGTACAAACTATACGACATGAGAGAGTTTTATGTGGGATAAATGTGCAAATAATTTAAAATTTAAATTTCTGTCTTCATGTTGCGAGATTGATTGTACGGACAAAATAGATAAAAAAAACGCACAAATCTCAGGCTAGCATTACATTGAATAGACATTACGCTAATGAAAAGAACAGTCGACAGTAATGTACATCTTATCGCCGTTTCATAAAATTTCACCATATTTTTCTTAGTATTTACAATAGAGAATTATGAACGACATCGTTCTTTTCGCGTAGTGTACTAACAATAAATGTTTAACAAATGAAAAAAAGGCAACGGGATATCTTCTCAATGTAGTACCATCTTTACCCTTGTCTTGCGACAATCCGACACATTATTAGATTGAGAATGGCCGGCAGCGGGATATCCGTTCAATGTGAAACTACCTTTAACGTGTTATGTGGCGGTATCAACACTAAATCTAACAACAGCGACGAATCCTAAGTATACCGTAGGTACAAAATACAACGCAGGCGGGTGCTCGATGATAAGATATCTGTTTCATGTGATTCTATCTCTATCCGTACGTAGTCATCAATACTGACGCCGCCGGTACGTGATCGACGACGGGATTTGCGTCCAATGTGACAGTACCCTTACCCGTACACGTAGTACATCACGACAGCGTGTCGGCGGTGGCAGCGGTGGTGGCGGCGGTGGCGGCGGTGGCGGCGGCTAGAAGTTCTGCTGGCGCTTGCGCTTGAGGTGTATGGCGTCGAGGATGGGCTGCCGCTTGCGCGTGTAGCGCGCGTGCAGCTGCTCGATCTCGGCCTCCATCTCCGCGTCCAGCCGCGCCATGCGCGCCTCCAGCTCCGCCACCGGCAGGAACGACAGCTGCACACACACGCGCACACATACTATATTCATATCCCGTCTATACTCGCTTTTATTATATTAAATTATGTACCCGCATTTTAGTTCAAATAAAGTTATTATTATTATTTTGTTTGTGTACATATTAATAATCTTTATAATTTGTATCATTCTTCATCTTCGAAGAATTAAGTGTTTTCATTCCTTCAATATTGAAAAAGTTTAAATTTGTCTGCCATTTTTTTTACTTAAATAAATATAACAATGCCTTACAAATATTTTAAAGATATATTTTTAAATCATTGCTATATTGAAAATATAAAAGGGAATTTATTCAGTTTAAACTGGTAACATTTAATTTTTATTGAAAGTTAACAATCATTGCGTTTTGTTTATGAAAACAATATTTAATTATAAAAAGCAAAATACAGGGTAATATTAGTACTAAGCAATAAACAAAGAAAGCATGAAACAAACCAAAATACAAGTTTTACACTACAATACTAAATTTTATGTAAATTGAATTAGTAAACTAAACACTACATACAGACTCGCCTTCTCATTTGATGTTAGTAAGAAATGTGATGATAAATTATAGAATCGTGATTTAATAAAAAATATTTTTTAATCTTTTAATTATTTCATTTGATTTTTATTTCCTGAACGATTTTCGAAAAAAGATTTTCTCAATTTGCCTTCACTTTTTGTGTGTTACACAAATTTAAAATTAGTTTTAACTATATTTTTTGTATACATACTAATTTTACCATGACCATAGCAAGGCATAGTTTTTTTTTGCAGAGTAAAATTTACTTATTTCGACAAAGGTTCGAGAAAAAAGCATCAATTCATACCTCGGCTGCATTCGCGAACGCGCCTGCGTGGTCACACATCTCGTCGTTAATCGATGTGCGTGTTGACGATTCAAGTCGCTTTTATTTAAAGTAAAATGTACTTGTTACATGTATAAAATGTTAGTCTTAGATTATATAGATAGAGTATCTTCATACAAATTGTTTGGAAAAAATATGTCAACTCATATATCCATGTGTGTGTAAATAGGGTTACCATAATGTGTATTAGTGGAAGATTTGGGAGAAAAAATATTTTTAAATTGAAAGTTAAAAAACGATAAAAATTTTAATATATTTAAAAAATAAGATATTTTATTATTATTATATTAATTCGTAATTATACTTATCATTACTAATTATTTTAATCATGTTTTCATTTTAAAATAATAAAAAATGGCCGCTAGTTTAATTAATACATGTATATTAATTTGTCATACGGACATATGTATAAAAAATAGTTCCCAAATCAAATAAAAAAAAACTTATCTGGGAAATTTTTAATCCAATCACTTGCAACACTGAAAAATGGCGCGCTTTTTATATAAAAAAAATATATGTGTCATAATTTAATCAGTCAAACGTCAATCAAGTAATCTGACTAGACGTTGACCTGTTATAGACAGTCGATGCTCTATCTACGCAATCTAAGATATTAGTGAACAGCGGGAGCACACGGGTCACGCGGGGCGGGTGCGGACGCGACTTACGCGGAGCGGACGCGGGCGCGGACGCGGACGCGGGCGCGGGCGCGAGCGCGAGCAGCGTGACGACGTGCAGTTGACTTACGAATTCCAAGTTGCCGTCGTCCGCGAACGCGCGCTGGAACGCCAGCGCGTTGGCCGCCGCCGCCTCCGCGCCCGTCACCGCGCTCTCAGCGCTGCAAACCGCCGTAGTCATTAAAAAAAAGTAAGGACACAAGGCATCCGAGCATGCAGCCGTTGGTAGTAAACAAATACCATCATTTTCCTGGGCTTATCCCAGTTATTTGAGGTCGGCGTAATATGTTATTCTTATAACATAATATTTTGGCTTTTGATTTTACGATTGACCATCTGCCTGCCGTCAGTCCTCCTTGGCAATGCATTTGTTGGTGGTATCCGGTACTTACGATATGGAGGAAAAAGTGACAATGTTGTGGGAAAGGGAAAGAGGTGGCAGTGCAGTTGCAGAAAGAATTTTTTTTTATACAACTTAGAATGGCAAACGAGCTGACGGCCCACCTGATGGAAAGTGGTAACTAATGGCCTCACTGCTAGTAAGCTCTGTCAGGTCAACCTCCACGCGGTTCTCCCTGGAAACCATTGTGATTAAGACTTGTTGCATTTATCATGATAACTGACCTCTTCCATCCTCACCTATCACCCCTCACTGGTGCCCCGCCAGTGTTCGCCGATAGCGCGGGCAGGGTCACCATTCCATTTTCAACTATTAAAAAAACCCTCCCTTTCCCGTGGGTTTCGTAAAGGGCTACTGAAAAAGGCAAGGGATGGGCTACAGCGTCCCTCTTAAAACATACCTAAAGCCTGACTACGGTTGACAATCCGTCTGCCAAGCGTGGCAACTACTGCTAAAACCCTCTAAGGTGTGTGTGATGTAATTAATTATACAATAACAACAAACTAGATTTTTGTAAAGTACTCATAGTGGCCGAGGCGATTTATTTTCCGAAGAAAATAGATCGATACTTCCTCCGCCTGGGCTATTGGTTCACGCTGACGAGGCACTACTGATTTTTTTATACAACTTAGAATGACAGACAAGCTGACGGCCCACCTGACCGTCACCTATAGACATGAGCAGTACCATGGACAGAACAGAGTATGCTGTTTCGCCCATGATACCCCCATGCGTTGCCATTCCTGAGGACTCAGGTGTTAGTCCTCTGTACCCAGTAAATTCACGCCATATCCCACGCTTCAAACCGAAACACAGCCATGCAAACACAACTGCTTCACGGTTGAAACACGAATGAGACAGAGGTGTTCAAGCAATCGACTTTTGTACAAAGTCTATTGAAGTGATTGCTGATAGGCGAGGGTGAAATTATCTCAGTTGATCCATCGCGACGAATTTTGATAAACTCAACCGAGTCAAATTTCTGCGGTAGTAGAGCTGCTCTAACAACTGACTATTCTACCCTCCCCCTCGTCACACTGGGTCAAGTTATTTATGCTTGGTGAAGGATCAGTAATGAGTGGTACGATGGTTAGTTGGGTACTGACAGGTCCTGGTCGTCGGGCAGCCGCCGCAGCGCGATGCCGCCGTTGGGCGCGGCGCCGAGGTGGTTGAGCTCCTTCTTCTCAAAGTGGTCCAGAAACAACGGCCGGTACTTCGGTCGGTTCGTGTCCATAGGATCCGTGTCGTGGCCTGCCGGCGGAGAGGAAATTTATTTATTTATTTCATCAACTGGATGAGCTTTACAGTCAATCACCCATCATATTCTCACCCAGAAAAGCATTGGTACAGTTTGAATAACTATTGTATGGATATTTTAATCAAATACTTGTAATTAATTTTTAATTTGTATTTAATCATCATTTTTTTTTTTCGTTCCTCTTGTTTGTTCATATTTTGCTTTTGTTAACTCCTATTTTTGTTGCTTTGTGTACAGTGCCTTGTTATATTGTTGCTACTTGTGAAAACCTATTAGTGGCTTATTTTGTGATTCTAAACTGTATCTTTTTGCAACATATACAACTTAGAATGGCAAACAAGCTGACGGCCCACCTAATGGAAAGTGGTAACCGTCGCCTATAGACATGAGCAGTGCCATGGACATAACAGAGTATACTGTTTCGCCCATGATACTCCCCATGCGTTGCCATTCCTGAGGACTCAGGTGTTATTCCTCTGTACCCAGTAAATTCACACTATATCCCACCCTTCAAACCGAAACACAGCCATGCAAACACAACTGCTTCACGGTAGAAAAACGAATGGGTCTACAACGTACTTTATCCATTATTAACATCTTTCATAATAATATTGTAGAATGCAATAAATTGAATTGAATTGAATGGGACAGAGGTACCCAAGCAATCGACTTTTGTACAAAGTCTCCCCCTGGTGAATTGAATTAAAAGTCCCACTATAGTTCTGAAACGACTGTGTCAGCCGTGTCGGAGAGTACTCACGTTTCATGGTGGCGAGGTCGAGGTCGAGGTCCGCGTCTGCGTCGGGCTCGTTGATGACCATGGTGCCGAGGTCGGCGGCCAGCTCGGCGTCGCGGGGCTCGCGCGCCGGCACCAGCGTGCCGTCGCCGCGCGGCTGCCGCATCGTCGCCTCCGAGTACTCCGCCTCCTGCCGCCGCCATCACCACCACCACGCACATCACATACACGCACCTCCACTGGCTAACACTCTCACCACGATTACTAGCAATACACCCTGACAGGTCCACCTCCTCGTGGATCCTCCAGAAAACCATTGTGTTCACTTCCAAGTGAATTCATCACGATGTGCTAACTGACCTGCTTTGTCATGCTCCTACCTACCTATCATTCCTCACTGGTGCCCCGCCAAAGTATACCAATAGACAGGTTACCCATCATTCCATTAACACCATTTAAAAAAAAATCGCCTATAGACAAAAATATAATCTGATACCTATATTTATTGCCATTCCCGAATATTAAGGTGTTTTTTTTAATGGGTGATAATGAAATGGCAACCCCGCCTGTGCTATCAATATACACTGGCGGGACACCAGTGAGTGATGATTGGCGACGAAGAAAGCAGGTCAATTAGCCTATCATGACGAATTCCACTAGAATTAACCACGATGGTTTCCTGGGGGAATCGCGTGGAGGTCGACCTGATGTATTGCTAGCAATGGGTTTATTAGACCCCGTGAATAACAATCCCTTTCACCCCAATATTAAGGTGTTATCTTACATACCCTATAATTTGACCATCATTTTTTAGCCATAAAACCGAAACATAACCACGCAAGCGCAGCTGCTTCGCGGCATCACCTCGAATGGAACAGAGGAACCAAAACAGACCATTTTTGTAGTCTCCCCGTGGATATCCACAAAAATAATCTAAATAATATAAAGGAACAACAAGCTGTTAGTCATGGAAGACCTATTTTCAACAGTGGCCACTCAAGGGCTGAGAGTAATTAATGATCTCTGAGATCTTTTCTAGAGATAAATCCACTTTTACTCGCAATATTTAAAACTACCTTATCTTAATTTACAATTACCGTAACGAATATATATATATATATATATATATATATATATATATATATATATATATATATATATATATATATATATATATATATATATATATATAATGTAAAGTGCTTTGCGTACGTACCGAGGCGAAGTTCTTGGCGTTGCCGGCGGCGTTGGCGGTCCTGAAGGCCTGGCTCTCGCGGATCTCGCGCGCCTCTGCGATCATCGTGCTCAGGATGCTGGGGTGCTTTGCATTGCCTGCCATTTACACACAGTTAATTTTTAACTTTCGCATTGTTTACACATATTTTTAAATACACTATCAGGACTTAACACGATGTAAAAGCTTTTACAGGTAAATAGTACCTACATACCTGCTCCTTTATTGCCAACGTTCCGACGTGGATTACACCACGTCGTGGTCACGACAGGACCTGTCTTGTTTTTTCATCCCGTTAAATCCCAATTGTATATTTAAAATACATTTACACTAGTGTCCGACCGAAACAGGTTTTACAGCCGAAACCGAAACCGAACTTTCGGCCTTGGTCTCAGTTTCAGCTGAAACCGAAACTTACTGAAACATATCTTAAATTTCTCTTCTATACTGAAATCTAGTGTATTTTTACATAATTATTTACACAAACACACAGATAGTTAAAGAGTAATATATATTTATATGTAAAAAGATATTAAAATTAGAACTTACTCTTGGAAATAAACTTAAAAAAAAAAACAACTTTCAGTTAGATACACACACAACACAAACACACACAAAGTTTCGGCGCGGCCGAAAGTTTCGGTCAATTTTTTGACCGAAACCAAAACTAAGGCTGAAAGTAGAAATTCTGGCCGAAACTAGCCGAAACCGAAACCGAGAGTTCGGTCAGACACTAATTTACACACATATACGCACTGGTAGTTACACTGTCAAAATTAAAAAAAAAACGGTGACTTCAATTGTTATAAAAATTAATAAAAGGCCAATAAGAAAATAGGTACAACAACATACCAATAAACTCGTGCGCAAGTAGGAACTCTGCGGTGGCTCTCTCGTCGGGGTTCTTCACCAGGCACTGGCTTACAAAGTCTATAAACTCGCTCGACCACTGGTCCGGCTCTCTGGAATCACACACCACAATAGTCACACAGAGTAAACATTTGCATTGACAAGCAGACGGGGAGGGGGAGGGGGGGATTAATATGCGCTGATGGCTACATAAGGACGAGGCCAGGTCAGTTTGCCGAATATAGCGAATTCACTACTCTTCTCCATCCAAGGGTTGCCTGGAAGAGATCGCTCTTAGCGATAAGGTCGCCCATTGTTTTCTCACTATGATTATTTCTTGTAATTATTTATATTTATAATAAGTTTACTATTGTAATCTTATGGAGGAAACAATAAAGAGTATCTATCTATCTATCACTAGAAATTAATTACCAAATTAAGGTGTCTAAAGAACTGTGTCGAGGTTGACCTAACAAGACATATTGTTAGCAATGAGGACTAAGATGCCCATTACCAGCAATACCTTCCCCCTGGAGATCGTCGTTGTTAATTAATTAATGTGTCCAATATGCATAAAAAATCTAGGCCTATGTCCATATATCTATATAACACTTGTAAATCATTAAATGATTACCATAAAACCCGTACGCACCTGAAAGAGGGCGGCGGTTTAGTGGGTATCATGAATATAGCGCGCATGGGGTGTATGTCCCCGTAGGGCGGTTTGCCCTCGGCCATCTCGAGCGCGGTGATGCCCAGCGACCAGATGTCCGCCACGCAGTCGTAGCCGATCTCCTGGATCACCTCTGGCGCCATCCAGAACGGCGTGCCGATCACTGTGTTCCGCTTCGCCATCGTGTCCTGTAACGTTGGGTCATTTAACTAGAAGAAACCACGAGAACTAGTATGGGACCCAAGGCCTAAGACAGGGAAAGGGACACAGGAGCCACCAAATAGTATTGCCTCTATAGAGCAGAGGTAGCCGACTTGATTAGGCCCAAGATCTACTATTTACTGCCGAAACCCTGTGCGATCTATAAGAGGCAACAAAGAGAATTTAATTGTCGAGGGATGTACATCTACATTATGTGGTTCGCTCTGGATATAATTATAAAATATTGTCCAACAGCGATAGTATAAAATTAACAAATGCCGCTAAATGAATGCCTCTGAGTCTAGTGCTTAGTCTAGTTAGAGATCAGGGGACAATACGTAGCATCAGTTTCCAAATAATCAGAAAGTAATATAATAATAGAATAAGAATAGAATTAGCAAAACAAGTTTTTTTTTTTTATACAACTTAGAACGGCAAACAAGCCGACGGCCCACCTGATGGTGGAAAGTGGTAACCGTCGCCTATAGACATGAGCAATACCATGGACATAACAGAGTATACTGTTTCGTCCATGATACCCCCCATGCGTTGCCATTCCCGAGGACTCAGGTGTTACTCCTCTGTACCTAGTGAATTCCTCTTCTACTGACATTGACTCTGGTCAACAGTGTCATGAGCCCGTATCCGGACTTGAATATATTGACTTGTAAACTTGTCGAGTTCCGCAGAATAGCAATCGATTATTTAAAAAGCGTCCAGTAATTAAATGTTTGTACATATTGTAATTGCTAAGAGAGTGAATTGGGAAACTGTCAAGCTCCCTTAGTTGGTAAACATAATAAATAAATAAATGATAAATAAAATACTACATTGACACTGCAAAAAAAAATTAATAATAACAATGTATCAAACAATTCCATTTATTTAGATATACATTTGACTAAAACTGGACTTAATAAAATTTCCTGCACCCTATAACCAGTGTCTTTCAACCAACCAAACCACCCACCTATAACCTGGGGTCTTTCAAACGTAGCATGAAAAAGCACTTAGTGAGGGAGCATAGTGCGGCCAACCGTTGGGAGTAAATCATTCTCTTTTCGGTTCATCGTGTTCATAGACCATGTTGCGTCTGTGTTCGCTCAGGTTGGTGTGTGTGTGTTTGTGTGTGTGGTGGAAACTTACTGTAAGCTGTCCAGCAACACCAAAGTCGGCAAGCTTCGCGTGCCCCTCCGTGTTGAGCAGAATGTTCCCCGCTTTGATGTCCCGGTGGATTTTTCTTCTCCGATGCAAGTACTCCAGTCCCTTGAGCGTGTCGCACAGGATCGTCGCGATCTCGTCCTCTGACAGGGTCTTCTTTCGTAACCTCATTATATCTGATACTGAACCGGCTCCACAGTATTCCATTACGATCTGGAAACAACAAATATATTTACTTTTTCATACCAGAGGGAGACTTTGTGGATTGCTTGGGAGTCCTCAGGAATGGTTGCCATTCCTGATAGGGGGTATCATGGGCGAAACAGTATACTCTGTTATGTCCATGGTACTGCTCATGTCTATAGGCGACGGTTACTACTTTCCATCAGGTGGGCCGTCAGCTTGTTTGCCATTCTAAGTTGTATAAAAAACAATACTACGTATAATAATAATAATAATAATACGTATAGACTTTAATCCAAATAATCAGCATTTGTTTATATATATATATATATATATATATATATATATATATATGTATATATGTATATATATATATGTATATATGTATATATATATATGTATGTATATATATATATATATATAAAAGATACTATTGTTATAATGAGTTTGTAATTCGTCCGTTCCTTTCTTTTGTACATGAATTTATTATTATTCACCAACTCACCCACAGGTCTGTATTCTTGAAGTAACTACCGTAGTACTTGACCACGTAGGGGCTGTCACACTGCTGCATGATGGAGATCTCCTTGATGATCTCCTGCAGGTCAGTGTCCACCGGCACCTGCTTGATGGCCAGCACCTGTCCGCTCTCCTTGTGTAACGCCTGCAATCGATCGACAGTACAACTTGTGAGTTGTTATACATAAAACAGATAAACACATACCAAGGATCCAAAGGGCAAAATCAATAATTTAGAAAGATTGGCTTTAGTACCGGGCGCTCCTGGGCAAAATTTTATGACGCAGCGTCCCGATGGCAAAAAAATGTCACCTAAATGCAATGTGAGCCGACAGAAATAATTTATACTACTGCGGATATCATCGTTTTTCAATAATATTATAATCAATGTTAAAAACATTGATATCGATCCAAATAATAAAACATTACTAAAAAAAATCTTTTGGCGACACGGTCCTGCTATTTAATTTCAAAGTAAAACCATCGAAGTTTATGGGACCCTTTACTGAAGCATTTTTCATTTTTTCATTTGCCCTTGAAATATATTATAGTGATTACTGTACCATCATTCATAATCAAAGTAGCAATCAGCAATAATAAAACTTATCTAAACTAACAACATATATATATATATATATATATATATATATATATATATATATATATATATATATATATATATATATATATATATATATATATATTATTGCTTGTATTATATTCCATATTTTCATCATTTCTCCATCTAAAGGTTGCCTGGAAGAGGTCGCCTTTTCGCCTTTAGATTATCATTTTTTGTAATTGTTTGTATCAATAATAAGTTTACTATTGTAATCTATCTATCTAATATTACTGAAAAAAACTTAACTGATTTAAAAAAAAAATACCTATTGATAGCAGCGAGTAACATAGGCTTTATTTTATTACAAAAAACCGAGTGAGGCCTGAACAGGTTTAGAATTCATTTATACAAAGCTACAAATAAAAAATCAAATAAATATCTGCCAAAACAGATCCCATTAATAGATATTTTCTACGTATTCGGCATTCGGGGAGGGTATTAGCTGCATCGTAAGGCGATTAACATCTGACCTTCGTAACTCGAGGGGTAAGCCGAGCGCCCACCATTTTTATGTTAGAGTGAGAGTATTTTATAAACCGTTATTTAATAATTAATGTTGTGCTATTCGGCGTGTCGGTCCTGGCATAAAATGGGCCAAGGAATGGTCTTGCCCGTGGGTATCGTAAGAAGCGACTAAGGAAGGACGAGGGATGGGCAGCAGCGTCCCTCTTAAAACATCTCTAAAAACTTAACTGCGGTTGACAATCTGCCTACCAAACGTGGCAACTACTGGCGAAACTCCCCTTATGGGAAAGGCTTATGTTCAGCAGTGGACAGTTAACGGCTGAAATAATAATTAAAAAAATATGCTATTGAATCACAATTTCTTCATTTCTTGCTCGTCAACATTATTATATTAATGGATATTCTATAAATGCTTATTGTATTCAAAGAAATTATGTAATTTGCGTGTCTATACGCTTAATCTCGTGTAATCTTTCTTTTTTTTTATTATTATTTTTCAGTGGTATTTCGTGGCTCACCTTTGGCCGCAACAGAATATCAGTGTTTTGCTCTTTTAGGGCAAAGCAAAAAGCTGAGTTGTGGCCATTTTGTATTACTGTGGCACACGTATGAAGAAAAAAAATTGTTACTAATTTTATGCATTCTGATTTTGGTTTTGTTTTTTTTTTTTAATTTTTGTACATGTATGTTTTTTTATCTTTTTTCACTTTGCATTTGTGTCTTTTGCTGTTTGTGTGCTGTAAGTAATGTAAATAAATTATTTATCTATCTATCTATCTGTCTATTGTTGTCCATGTGTTGTTGACATTGCGGTGGATGCGTTCAGAATCGTGCTTCTACAAGTCTATTGTATTGCCCTGTACTCCTGGAATAGAATATGTCACCCCTTCCTTTCCTGTGGGTGTCGTAAGAGGCTACTAAGGGGACTTAATAGTCAAGGGATGAACAGCAGCGTCCTTACGTCCCAAAGCCTAACTGCAGTTGCTAACCCACAATAAGAAGCCCATTTTCAATAGTGAACAATTTACGACTGATATAGTATAATATGATCAGTCTATTGTATTTATTGTTATAGTACAGTAAAACTTATAAAAAAAAGTAGCCAAGCTTTCTATAGGTGAGAATATTTAAAATCAATGAAGTAAGTTTTGAATTTGCACATTATAATCAATATAATCTTTCCTCTTTATATGTATAGAGTGTTGTTATTATTATTTTACCCCATTGACACCATTACGGATTATCGTTTTTTTTTACAACACAGGGGGCAAACGAGCATGCGGCTCACCTGGTGATAAGTGACTACCGCCGCCCATGATCACCCACAACACCTACGGCATTGCAGGTGTGCTGCCGGCCTTTTAAAAAGGAATATACTCTTTTCTTGAAGGTTGTATTGTCGTATCGGTTCGGAAATACTGCTGCTGGAAGTTGATTCCAAACAATAGTTGTGCGTGGAAGAAAGTGCCCGATGGAGGGCCGCCACTCGTCCAGATGGTTGGGATGAAACTAGTTTGTGGCGGGTTGTACGGTGGTAAAAATCAGCAGCAGGTATCAATCCGAACAATTCCTCAGAACTCTTCCCATGATAAATTCGGTAAAAGATGCACAGAGATGCAACATCTCTGCGCAGTTTCAGTGGGTCAATGATATATAAAACAAAATTTCTCGTTTACTTTAACTCAAAATTTATGGGGTGGCTTTTAAAAAAATATAAATCTGGAAGAAACGTCGTAATTAAGTGTGTTACGATTGTTTCTGGGGTGCGTAACGTAATGCAATATTTATAACGTGAAATGATTACTTACGCCACTCCAGTTTGGAGGTTTCTGGTCACGCAACCGTTGGGGTGGGCCGTGGAACACATCTGCTACACTTACAATTACGTAATGTACGAGTACAGTAGGCATGAGTAATATGGATACCAATCCGATACCTACATATTGAGTATTTCTGAATATTGATGGCGGAAAAAAGGTATCGCCCATATCGGTCGGACATCTATTTTCTAAGGTGTTAAAAATCTGTTATCCAATATTATTTTTGGACGAGACTTTTAACTTATTTATTATTGGATTAGTTTATAGTTATTGTAACTAAAATATATAGTTACTGTTACCAGAGGGAGACTTTGTACAAAAGTCGATTGCTTGGACACCTCTGTCACATTCGTGTTTCAACCGTGAAGCAGTTGTGTTTGCATGGCTGTGTTTCGGTTTGAAGGATGGGATATGGCGTGAATTTACTGGGTACAGAGGAATAACATCTGAGTCCTTAGGAATGGCAACGTATGGGGGGTATCATGGGCAAATCAGTATACTCTGTTATGTCCATTGTACTGCTCATGTCTATAGGCGACGGTTACCACTTCCCATTAGATGGGCCGTCAGATTGTTTGCCATTCTAAGTTGTATAAAAAAAAAAAAATTACGTAGCCCTAATGTAGAGACATGATTGATTGTTACGGTAGGACATTTCAAACACACGATACAAATATTTATAACTTCATAAACGTAGTTCTCAATTCGGTTTTTTCTTCAGTTTGTCACCTCAGACCTCCGTTAGTTGTACACCGATTTGGAAAATTCTTTTTTTATCTCAAAGGATATACTTACAAATTGGTTCCATACAAATTTTATAAAAATCGATTCAGTAGTTTAGTTTTTAGATCAAAATTACTGGTTATACATTAATTTTTTGGGACAACTGTAAAAACTCCTATTACAAACTCGTTTCTTGTTTGAATTTCGAACTCACCCTCGTGGTTATAGCTATAAAATAGTGTGTTGCTCCCCGAGTTAATACACATCACTGAGCTGTAAACCATATTGGATTGCTACGGCACACACGTGCGGACATTTTTATAAGCTCTGTGTACCCCATATTATTCGTTAGTAGTGTTATGCTCCTACATTTGTGTGCTAAAGACGTATTTTTTTTTTATTTATCCAAATATTTAAAATTTAAACCTTGAAACAGTATTAGATAGGTAAAAAAATAGTATTAAGTACTATTATGGATTGAAAAATGATATTATCGGTAAAGGCTCGAGTTTAGAATATAAAGTCATACGACAGTCAGAGATTGATGGCCTAATACAGAATAATTCAATATTCATAAAGAAAATAGGTAATTTTTTTATATCACTGAGGTGGCAAACAAGCATACGGCCCACCTGATTTTAAGTGGTTACCGTAGCCTATGAACGCCTGCAATACCAGAGGTATTACGCGCGCATTGCCGACCCTAAAGAAACCTCTTTACCCCCTTTTGAAGAACCCCATTCTGTAGTCTCTTGGGAAAACCTCGGCAGGGAGCTCATTCCATACTCGTCGTACAACCGCGTTGTACGCGACCATTTAGGCTGTATGGTGTGAGGGCTATTTTAATCACCATCGCGAAAGAAAATTCTAATGAACAAGAATTATCAATATCGATGCAGGTAGGGGGGAAAGGGATTGTTAGCAATGGAGTTCGATATTGCTAGCAATATGCCCTATCAGGTCGACCTCCACGTGGTTCCCCCTGGAAACCATCGTGAACAATTCTTGTTGAATTCGTCACGATGGGCTGACTGACCTGCTTCATCCTCATCTATCATCCCTCATTGGTGCCCCGCCGGTATATACCGACAGCGCGAGTGGGGTTACCGTTTCATTATCACCCATTAAAAAAAAATCGATGCTGAATTAGCGAAGCAGTTGCAGAACGTGCATACAAATAAAAATATAGACGGATTGAGAATTATCCATTACATCCATATTATATTATTCACTGAAGTGGTTATCAGAAGCTCTCAGCTATTACAGTAATAAACCTTTTAAAGAATTGAACATACATATTGCAACAATGTGTTTGTATCTAGTGTTTACCAGGGGGGAAAGGGATTGTTAGTAATGGAGACCGAGAATCCCATTACTAGCAATATACCCAACCAGGTCGACCTCTTCGCGGTTCCCCCTGGAAACTATCATGGTTAATTCCTAATGAATTCATCATGATGGGCTAACTGGCCTGTTTTCATTCACATCTATCACCCTTCACTGGTGCTCCGCCAGCGTATCCCGTTAGCGCAGGCGGGGTTACCATACCATTTTCACTCATAAAAAAAAAAGTGTTTACCTTGTAGACGCTGCCATATGAGCCCTCCCCTAATTTACAAATAATGTCGAAAACTTCCTCGGGCTGCCGCGTGAGACTCTCCTCGGATAGCTTCTTCAGCTCACTGCAACAAACACAACAATGATTACATTTTACAAATAAACGGTATATTTTAATGTAATAACTACTGCTTTAAGGGGGGGAGGGATTGTTAGTAATGGGGACTACCAGTCCCATTGCTAGCAATATACCCTACCAGGTCGATCTCCCCGTGATCGCCCCTGGAAACCATCGTGCTGAATACCAAGTGTATTCATCACGATGGACTAACTGACCTGCATTTTCATTCTCACCTATCATCCATCACTGATGCTCCGCCAGCGTATACCTTTAGCGTAGGCGGGGTTATCATTCCACTATCATCCACTAAAAAAAACTGCTTTAACTTTATTTTAATGCATGATAATGGATGATAACACTAGCGGGACACCAGTGAAAAATGATATGTGAGGATGAAGCAGGTCAGTTAGCCCATCGTGACGAATTCGACAAGAATTATTCACGATGATTTCCAAGGGGAACCACGCGGAGGCCGACCTGACAGGGTATATTGCTAGCAATGGAGCTGTTAAACTCCATTGTTAACCATCCCTTTCTCCCTACCGCGTTAACTTACGTGTAATTAGATAGAAAAAACTTGACTAGTTTCGGAATCAATTCGTGATACTTAGTCATGAGCAATTGAGATGCGAGCACGAGCCTGACAATATGCCTCGGCCCGCTATGTAATTATTAAATGAAATCCTTTTTTATCTGAAAGGATATACTTACACATTGGTCCCATAGAAATTTTATTAAAATGAATTTAGGAGTTTACTGTCTAAATGCAAATATCTGGTTTTGCTACAACTAAACTCGGTTTTTTTTTTCTAAGATCAGAAGACAATCTTAATTATTCTTAAAAATAATGAGAATCAACTAAAAGCGAATCGTTTATAACAAAGGTATTAGATGGAGCGTTCGTTTAATTTACTTGAGGCACTTTGTTTCAAACGCGCCGCAGTAAGAGCCATCTATTTGGGTGGCTCAAGACTGATCGCCGGTATATGATAGGTATTATTTAAACGGCCAGACGCAGACACATAATGCAATGTTAGGGACTACTCACACTTATTAAGCTCCATTCGCGTTTCGCTAAACGATTTTGGTCACACTTATACAGCTCTGGAAGAAAGCAGCCGCGTACGGCGTCGTAAGAATGAGAAAAGCATAGAGTGCTATCTCCGCTGAAACGCTTGTCTACTGCGTACGACGTTGAATATGCTGCATTTCGTAAAAATAAAATAATTATAATTACTATAAAATACGTCTGCACTCTTTAATGCTTACGTACATAATGATTACGCAATAATAAATCAAATTAATGCAGAAACAATACAGGTCGCAACTTGTCGACAAGGAGTGGCGAAACATCCCTGTAAAGAGCCGTTTCGCCGCGTTCGACGGTGAATGCGACGGAACAGCGCTGAACGCACTCTTCAGCATTCACATGATAAATACACATTTATCCTCATTTTATACTGGGTTGCCGCGAAAGCAAGAACAGACGCGGAAAGCTGAATGGATACGTACACGTCTACATACAAAATCGTTGTTTTCTATGGACAAAAGTTGAATAGAGTTGAATAAGTGTAAGTAGTCCCTTAGCCCGCACCACACCGAACCAATGTTTCCACATAGTGCAAATATATAAAGACGTACAATAACGAAAGTGTACGTAGAGTATATATCGGAGCAGAAACATAGAGATTTCTTGAAATTCGACGCACTTTTTCAAGACCTCTATTCAAATACAATAAAATAGCAAATATTCACCATCGTCATCATATCCGCCTTTAACTGTCTACTGCTGAACATCAGCCTCCCCTTTGGGGGGTTTTGCCAGTAGTTCCCACGTTTAGAAGGCGGATTGGCAACCGCGGTTAGACTTTAGAGATGTTTTAAGAGGGACGCTGTTGCTCATCCCTAGACCAGACCCTAGACCCTAGTCGCCTCTTACGCCCACCTGCCAAGCGTGATAACTAGCGAACCCCCCCCCCCTATAGAGAAGGTATATGTTCATCAGTGGACTGTTGAGATGTAAGATGGAATAGTCTTATATGAATAATAATTCCCTTTGTAAAATCCAAAACTATTTTTTCAATATAACATCTTAGTATGTAAGAGACTTTTTTTTTATACAACTTAGAATGGTAAACAAGCTGACGGCCCACCTGATGAAGTAGTCGTTGCCTATAGACACGAGCAGTACCATGGACATAACCGAGTATACTGTTTCGCCCATGATACCGTACCGCCCATGCGTTGCCATTCCTGAGGACTCAGGTGTTATTCCTCTGTACCCTGTAAATTCACGCCATATTCCACCCTTCAAACCGAAACACAGCCATGCAAACACAACGGCTTCACGGTTGAAACACGTATGGGACAGAGGTACCCAAGTAATCGACTTTTGTACAAAGTCTCCCTTTAGTAAAAAAGACGTTAACAAAACTTTTTCATTACGTACTTAGCAACATATTTGTGTGGCTTCTGAAACTGTTCAGTGACAATTATAGCTACCACGGTAATTATCCTACCATTAAACAAATCATAGGAATGCGCGTCTAATTTTACTGTTGTTGATTTATAGTTCTGCAGCGATAATGCTGCTCCTAAAACGCTCGCTTTAGCATTAGGGTTGTCAATCCACAAAGAATAGTATTAAATTAATATAAAACAAAAACTTGGAGCCCTATACTTATATAGTGCTCGAAGAATAATAACAAAAAAAGAACAAAAAAGTTATAGTAATGACTTATCATTACTGTAACTTTTTATGTCAATCATTATTTCTTGGCCTTAGTCACCACCAAGTACTTACTTATCCGTGTGGTCCCGGCGTAGAATAAACCACCCCTTCCTTTCTAGTGAATGTCGTAAGAGGTAAATAAGTGAAAGCGAGGGATGGGGAAACAGCGTTCCTCTTAAAACATCAAAGCCTAACTGCGGTTGCCAATCCGCCTGCCAAGCGTGGCAACTACTGGCAAACCCTTCCAAACATAAGTCTCCTCGGCTTATGTTCAGCACTAGATAATTAAAGCCTGATATGGTGATGATGATTCAGTACTTACTATTAATAGCAACAAAGCAAAAAAACACGATACTGGTATTTAATTTTACATGAAAGCGTTAACTAGGTTATAAATAATAATTCAGAAAAAAAAACTACAATACATAAATCAAATTAAATTTAGACAACCCTACAATTTCTTATCGATATTTTTTATTTTTTCATTTTGTATTACTGCATCTCAAAGCTTTTTAAATCCTATACCCTCCCACGTACTCGGCTTACGTCATCCACGGGTAGAAAATTCTGCGAATCTGGTAAGCGGGGTTTACTTAGAAAGAGACCTGTTGTTCTCTAAGCGGTAACCCTAATCACCAGCCACTTTTATGACCTCAGTTGACAGTGTCGCGTCGTCACCTGGACATCACCAAGTGGTGTGGCGGTTATTTTGAACACTGACGTCTACGCTGTGCGCTGCAGTTGTGAACTATTGCTATGTTACATTAACACTGCAGTTTTAAAGTTACAGTTTCAAGTGAAATAGATCCCGGACAAGACGGTTCTGTCTTTAAAAAGGTGGATCTTCTTATTTCAGATCTACTTGCAAACAACCGACTTCAAAAAGAAGGGGATATATGATTCGGTCGTTTTTTTTTGTTTCAATAATAATAATAAATACTATCTTTAATAAGGTCACTGGGACCCCACATAATTTTTTACAGTACTAATTTATGTAACCAGAACTCATACAATTTTTATACAGTATTAATTTACCTCATAATTCCGTCAATTGTTTTAAACGATAAGAAAAATTATTTTTATCTAAAAAGATATAATTTGCTAGTTGTTATAGTAAAGGAATTTTGTTGCGCTCAAATCATAGTTCCTTAGTTTTTAAATATTTCTAATTTATTTTAAATCTGGAATAAGGAACTATTTTGGTTATGATCTGATATTTGTTTGTGTATTATTTTTAGTTGATGTTTGATAAATTACGCTCGCTAAAAGTAGATATTAGTATAACATACCCCCTCCAATGAAAATAGCTGCATCCAAATCAATTTTTAAAAAGTTATTAAAACACCATTTATTAACTAAACAAAAACTTGGGTTGGTCGCCTGGTAGCGACTGCTTTCAACATAATAAATATTGTGGTGATTTATTTATATTGTATTTTTAATTAATTAATAAAATATATTATTTATGCATCATTTATATAAGTATGTATCTATATAATACAATTTTATCTTTGGCTGTTACACAGGTTACACTCTGGGTTTGTTGTACGCGTCCGTGTAGCCTAACTTCAGGCTACAGCTGAAAATCAGTGCTTTGCTTTTAAGTAAAACCATCACTGAGCTATTTGGGTCACTGCGACACACATGGCGAAACCATATTTTTATATTTTATCGTTTGTTGTATATTTTGAAAAGTGTAAATAATCTGATTGTATAAACTCATTTGTAAATTTACGTGTGTCATAAATGGCTAAAATAAAAAGTTTATCTATCTATCTATATTAAGTGCATGTTCATAGTTTCAAATTTCTCATTTAAGTGATTTATGTATAAATCTTTAGAGAAATAAAGATCTTAAACCGTAAACCGTATCTGATATTTGGATATCATCGTCGTCATCATATCAGCCATTATCTATCCACTGCTGGACATAGGCCTCCCCCATAGATCTGTTTTACAAGTATATAAATCTTTCTTTATTAAGGCAATAACATGGATAATATAAAAAAGATACTTTTAATAAAAAAGAACCGATTAATTTTAAAACTACGCTCTCTAACTGTATAAAAAAAATGGGGGGAAAGGGATTGTTAGTAATGGAGACTAAGAATCCTATTGCTAGCAATATACCCAACCAGGTCGACCTCCTCGCGGTCCCCCCTGGAAACTATCATGGTTAATTCCTGATGAATTCATCATGACGGGCTAACTGGCATGTTCTCATTCTCATCTATCACCCTTCACTGGTGCTCCGCCAGCGTATCCCGTTAGCGCAGGCGGAGTTACCATACCATTTTCACCCATAAAAAAAAACTATATAAAAAAAGCACGAATTTTGTTGTAAGCACGGATTACTGATAACAGTAAAGAGAGCGGAGATATAATCGCTGGAATATAACTTTTGATAGCACGGCTTGCACTTGCTACGTTCCCACGCATCGATTTATCAAACTATACAAACTTTGAGTACATCTAATAAAAGACAGTTCGGTTTCCTCACAATTTGTTAAAAAATAAGTTTAGGTAAACATCAAATGCAATTTATACCAGTCACGTGGCAACCAAGGACACAGCTCACCTGATGGTAAGCAGTTAGCGTAGCCTATAAACGCCTACAATATCAGGGGTATTAGGCGAGCCTTGCCAACCCTGAAGAAACCTCTTTACCCCTTTTGAAGAATCCCATGCTGTAGACTCTTGGAAAAACCTCAACAGGGAGCTCATTCCATAACCTGAGCGTTCGTGGGTGGAAACATTTCTGAAACCTCGCTATACGCGACCATCCAGGCTCCAAAATATGAGGGTAACTCCATGACAATAGCGAGTTATTCGATAGTAAAAAATGGTCCTGAGCCTAGTACGTTGCACACGCAAAGTGAGGCATAATATCTCCTAAAACTTAAGAATTTGATACCGCTTGCAACCCTGAGATCATCGACAATTCTCATAGCTCGTCGTTACACTGTATCGACGGGTTCAAGCTGATATCTAGGTGCTCCCGCCCATAACCGACAGCAATACTCCATGTGGTGCCGGTTTTGCGATTTATAGAGCAGTAATCGTTGATCGGGCGTGAAGTATTGCTCCGCTCTATTAAACACAATATACATATATAATTTGATTTAAAATGACCACTTTCAATTAATATGAGACAAACACGAAAGCAAACCCTGTAATCACAATTTTCCAGCTCTTACCCCATATTTTTTGTGATTGACGTAATAGTAAATCGTTTAATGAATTACCAAAACTAGTACCCAGTATTTCTAATATCATGGAATTGAATCTAAATCCTCTATTTCTAGAATTAGCACTACAATTATTGAATCTGTACTAATATCATAAAGAGAATAGATTTGATTGTTTGTAATGAATAACCCCCAAAACTACTCAACCAATATTAAAAAAAAATGTCACCTATAGAAAGCTGTGAAGTTTCCGTGTGGTTGCGACATAGAATAGGCCACTCCTCCCTTTCCCGTGGGTGTCATAAGAGGCGGCTAAGGAAGTACAAGGGATGGGCAACAGCGTCCCTTTTAAAAACATCTCCAAAGCCTAACTACAATTGCTAACCCGCCTGACGAGCGTGGTAAATAGTAGTAAAACCCCTCAAAGGGAAGGCTGTTCAGCAGTGGACAGTTAAAGGCTGATATGATGACGATATAAAGCTGTATTATCAGCGAACACCGTAAGCAAAATATTTATATAAAAAAAAATACAAAAAATGCATATCTCTATAATCTTCGCAACCCAAATTATCAAAATATAATATGTTTGATTTCGAATTATAATTTTTCTTTTTTCCTATCTATACACCCGTGCGAAGTCAAAGCGGATTGCCAGTAATAGATAAGTTTACAAAATCAACCCCATGAATAGAATGAAAAGCATTAACGATATACTCACAAAACACCACCCACAACACCCGCAGAGCAAATCCAGAAAGAACAACATGGCAGCGAGCTATTGAAACGAAAAGTACATACAACGGGCAGATACGATATCGGTGCTCTTATCTGCCCCATCCGTATCCGGACCCGTGTCATTCACTCGTCTATTTTGTTTAATTACAACATTTATTTTACGAGCTGGGGCTGAATCCAATGCCGTGTTCGAGCCGGGGCTGAATCCGATGCCGTGTTCGAGCCGGGGCTGAATCCGATGCCGTGTTCGATATTTGTATCTTTTGTGCCATTGTCTGCACACTGCAGATTATGCAGCATTCAAAGATTTTGTTACTCTCTTACGATGTTGCGTTGTAAATTTTTTTTTATACCACTGAGGTGGCAAACAAGCATACGGCCCACCTGATGGTAAGCGGTTACCGTAGCCTATGAATATAATAATATATCCAGTACTTATATTAATTGATATAGAAACCATTGGCACTTTTATAGACGTGTTCTGACAATGTATAACTAAATATTTTAAACTGACTACAAAAAGGAAGAAGTCCTCAATTCGGTTGTTTTTTTTGTTTATATTTTTTTTTTTGATTGATGAAAATGGTATGGTAACCCCGCCTGCGCTAACGGGATACGCTAGCGAAGTGGTGCTTCGTGAAGGGTGATAGATGAGAATGAAAACAGGCCAGTTAGCCCATCATGATGAATTCATCAGGAATTAACCATGATAGTTTCCAGGGAGAACCGCGAGGAGGTCGACCTGGTTGGGTATATTGCTAGCAATAAGATTCTAAGTCTCCATTACTAACAATCCCTTTCCCCCCTTTTTGTTTACGTTTGGTACTTTATTTGTTTGTTACGTTATGAAGCTGACTTCAATTGTGACACAAATTTTATTTAAAAACTAAACTACTGCATCGATTTTAATTAAATTTTTATGACACCAATTTGTAAGTATATATCCTTTCAAATATATGAAGACGGAGTTGGGGGGAAAGGGGTTGTTAGCAATGGAGTTTGACAGCCCCATTGCTAGCAATATGCCCTATATCGACCTCCACGTGATTCCCCCTGGAAACCATCGTGAACAATTCTCGTTGAACTCGTCACGATGGGCTAACTGACCTGCTCCATCCTCACCTATCATTCTTCACTGGTGTCACGCCGATGTATACCGACAGCGCGGGTGGAGTTACCATTTCATCATCACCCATATAAAAAAAAAAAAACTGACGGAGTTGTGAGGTAACAAACAAAAAAAAACCAACTGAATTGGAAACGTCCTTCTTTTAAAGTCTCTTGAAAACGATCAATTTCACAGATTGATGATGAACTATGTGTGCTGTAAGTAATACAAATAAATTATATATCTATTTGTGTATCTATATATCTAAACCAGCTGCTTTATAAATAACCTAAATGAGAGATGCACATGCAGAGGAAACTGTACACAAGTTGCTTGTTATTTTATTGTCGCGCACAACAAAATAACATTACATACAAATACATTTACCAGAGGGAGACTTTGTACAAAAGTCGATTGCTTGGGTACCTCTGTCCCATTCGTGTTTCAACCGGAAAGCAGTTGTGCTTGCATGGCTGTGTTTCGGTTTGAAGGGTGGGATATGGTGTGAATTTACTGGGTACGGAGGAATAACACCTGAATCCTCAGGAATGGCAACGCATGGGGGTATTATGGGCGAAACAGTACACTCTGTTATGTCAATGGTACTGCTCATGTGTATAGGCGACGGTTACCACTTTCCATCAGGTGGGCCGTCAGCTTGTTTGCCATTCTAAGTTGAATAAAAATAAATATAAAATAAAATACGAATAGTTTCACGTGGCTGCGTATTCCTCGGAGACACAGTCCATTTATAGAACAGTATAAAATAAAAACAGTTCGCGTATTGCTGAAAGGAGTACACGATTTACGACATACTGGCACGATATGACCTGAATAGGATATAAACAACTATGAATCTTTATAAACTGTACCAGACAGGACAGAACAGTAATAATAACATCTTTATATAATTGTTAATAATTGTTAGTAATGCGGCCTACCAGTCCCATTGCTTGCAATATACCCTCTCAGGTCGACCTCCACGTGGTTACCCCTAGAAACCATCGTGCTGAATTCCATCCAACCAAGTACATTTATCAGGATGGGCTAACTGATCTACCTTTCATTCTCATCTATTATATCATCTATCACTGATGGCCCGCCAGCGTATATCGTTAGCGCAGATGAGGTTACCATTCCATTATCATCCATTAAAAACAACGTGGCGGTGAAGAGTAAAAATTGTTGGTAACGGAAAGTAGAGATCTCACGCAGTCGACCTCCACGAAGTGCCTACAGGAAACCATGAGGTACTATCGTAGGGTTTATATCTAGGAAATTCATCACGATAAGTCAACTAAGCCGAATGCATTCTCACCAATCCTGTGCATCATGCACAGTGGTGAGAATATTCTTAGAAGCATGAATAGTGGAGTTCCTTATAATAACGTATAGTAAAAACTTAAATGGAATTCCCCAAAGTTGTCACGAAAACAAGAGTGAACGAGTACACGAAGGCATAGCTGCGGGCAATGACTTGTGCTATTATAAAATTTTTTTCAATAATGCAATTCGTTAATAGGGAAAACATTGTTCCACTTTATAGAACTACAACTTAAAAAATAATTGGAAACACGTAGGTCACGAGGTAACTACTCATATTGAAATACTTGTAAGCACTTTAAAATTAAAATTAAGCGATTACACTTCAGTGTTGTATGTTAAATAAAAAAAAAAAAACATAGCGCGATATATTATATACTCGCATACCATATGTTTTACTTATTATTATTTGTAACGATAAAAAATCAAAAGGTTACGCAAATCTGCTACATTTCTAAGATATGACTTCAAAACGTACCCCTGGGGACGATCATTGGCACTCATTCTGTCAGCGCGCCTTTTCTTGCACGTGTTGCAGTCAAGTGTCGGTGCACCACCCTCCCACACACCACTCTTCCAAAACACTAACCTGCCCTCACTATCCATGAGGAGTTATCATTGTCACAAACCAATAAACATTAATCGCGTACACAAGTCACCAACTTTCACAGAGTACAGTGATAACATAAACATTTGGCTGAATAATATTTTTATATAAGTCATTCGTTATCGAGATCTGTTATGTAAATAGTACACACGTTTATACCACAAAAGATTAGACGCTGCAAAAAGTTATCAGTGCAAAATGATTCATATTCCGGCACACATTTAGCAAAACAACTGAGCAAATAGTTTTATAACGATGATCCTTATAGCACACACAAGTTGGAGCGTTTACGTAACCAAGCGTGCGGCATCCATTCAAAGGAGACTAACAAAACTTCACTCCCGAAATAAACACTTGAATCCTGCCAGATCGCAGCCGGCCGAGAGACGGCAACACGACCGTTTCCTACAATGTCTTGAACCAAACTGCCTTTGATGTTCAATTCAAGTTTCCAAGTTCAAATTTCAAACTCGATTCTAGGACATGGTAGTTCTGTGCCAACTGGGAAAAGTCACAGCCTAGAATAGATCGTAAGATTTACAAGTTATCTTGGTGTTGGTAGTGTAAATTTCTTTGTTCGTTTAGAAAGCTCCTGCATGCTGACACACTTCAGAACTTTCAACCTGACTGGCAAATATGAAAAAATAAAACGCATCGACCTATATTCGCCATGGATTATGTATTTATCGGTTTGTAAAAGAAAGAGAAAGTAAGTGATAACACGCAAGGGCGCAAGTTAATTATAGACATAAATAAGTGCAACTCCACGTACTATGGACCAGTAGACTATAGAATAAAATATTTCGATAACAATGCAGATAAAACCAATAAATAAAGTCAATGCACACATGAAATCCATAAATCAGGAGGGAACATTAACTTTTTTAATGTCAGCTAGCTATGTGATGCGCGCACGCCGGACTGGCTCTGTGCGGCACTAGATAAATAAAACCGCGTGTTGGTCCATCTATAAATAATACACGCGGATCCTACTCGTTACATCGAGGCTGACACCTTCTGTTTGTAAGCTATGCACAGTTGTTACTGTCGTGAAAAAGCAAGCAACGATTGAAAACCAGATTCCATGAAACTTGTAATAGTTACAAAGCCGGTTTAAATGGCCATAAATGACTAAGACAACATAATCGAGAAGGACTTTTGTATTTAAAAAATGCAGGCAATAGTTCCGATGGTATGGCTGTAACTATTTATCATTCTTATAGGGATACTAATATTATGCAAAATAAATGGCTCGTAGAGTAAATTGAAGTGGGGTTTCCTCTGGGAGATACAACTGGACACATAACTTTTCCTTCCTCCTACACAAATGATTTATTTAAAAAAGTTCCTACATATCTGTTTATGAATTTGTCTGTTGTTTACTAAACATTTATGTCGATGACTTCAGCCACTAAAAGGCTATGCGTATAATTTTACTGAACATGCAAATTTTGCGGTTCGTCAAATTTATGAAAGATGAAGTATTATCGGAATATTTTCCCAGGAACTGCACAGATCACTTCCACATTTGTAATTGGCAAGAGTTGGCTGATCTAATATTAATGAGACGACATTCCTGCAACGTTTGGCACATTCGTGTTTCCGTTCCGTTTGCGATATTCTCGCGTGGGCAACCTTCGTACAATGAACTGGGGATAGAAGACACACTGTCTACTGACACCGATCTCATTGTCTATGCATGAGTGCGTATGCAGGACTAACAACCGCAAATAAATATAACTCTATTTACCATATCAAGGCATGTTTTGCGGGTAGAAGTCTTTTCAAAATTAGATATGCATTACGTCCACGTATAATGGCATGACGCGCTCTTATGTTATCCGAAATCCCGAACTCATCTAATATTCTTTGAATATTAAGTGAACTAACATACATATATATATATTGTTTGCGTTTTGAAACTATATTATGTTTATTATGTGGAATTGATTTAATGCTGTAGATTTTAACTAAACTGCTTATTGAACTATTTTGAGTACTAAAAAATGTAACTATGTAATGTATTAATTTACATGTTTTATTTGCTTAACCACATAGTATTATAATATTTTAATAACCGCTTTTATCAAATTATTTTTATAAGATATAGATTTACAAGCAAAATACTTTATAACTGACATTTGCAATACATATGGGAGTACGACCCAGATGAGCGTTCCCTGTTTTCTCACAACACAAAGTAGGTATCCTAGCTTGAGAACTAAAGTATTTAAATTGTTAATAAATACCAATTAAAATATGAATAGGATATATTTTAATCAACAATTAGTCATGCTATACGGAATATTAATTCTAAATCAACTCAAACCACCCAATTACCGAGAATAACCGCCTCGAGGTCCTAAAAAGGGCACGTGCATAATTTAAAATGTCGTTAAGCAAAACAAAGCCGCAATGTTAATCGTAACAACATTATTCGTAACACATAGAAAAAAAATATTCATAAAGGAAAAACAGTAAATATGCAAGCCGAACCAAATAAAGAACATTGTAATCCAATCAACATTGTGTTGGAAAAATATTTGGACTACGAATTAATATGGAACTTAAATAAAAGTAAATCCAATGGAATGCAAAAAGAATTATTAATAATATATTCAGAATTTGAAGTGAAATGATTACGAGACAAGTGCATCTAGGTCCTCGTACTTCTAGATTGTGGAATCAGTTCCTGTTTTCAATTTTCCCTTCACAATATAGGGAATTAAAAAACAACGGACCAAAAAACATTTTAATGACCAGGAACGGACAAGCAACTCCTCTCGTATTGCAAATGTTCATGAACGACGGTAGCTGCTTTCCATCAGGTGCACCGTCTGTTCGTTTGCCTGCCTAACAATAAAAAAACATTTCCATAGCAAAAAGATTTTTTAAAATTCATTCAAAATTGGGACTTTACCCAGTAATATAGCAGTCAAAAAAAGATACCGACAACATATTTTGGATGTCGTTTAAAAATCAAATACTGTCGTGGTGAATAATAACGAACTCATTATGGTATAATATAGTAGCAAATGGCAAGTGTGTGGGAAAGAGAAAAAAGCGCATACTGAAAGTCGAGACAGGTCAGCCAAGATCGACGACCCAGAAACGGCGAACGCTCGCTTACATAGACACATTGGAACATGAAATATCACACTTTACCTATACTATGATATCCGCCCACATCGACAACGTATTGTCCAATCCTATAACTGTAGGGGAAAGGGATTGTTAATAATGCAGACTACCAGTCCTATTGCTAGTAATATACAATATCAGGTCGACCTTCACGTGGGACCACGTATCTTGAAACCATCGTGCTGAATTCCTGATGTATTTACACGATGGGCTAACTGACCTGCCTTTTCATCTACACCTATCATCCCTCATTAGAGCCTCGCTAGCGTATACCGTTAGCGCAGGCAAGGTTACCATTCTATTGTCATCCAAAATCCTGTAACTGCGTACAGTTTGTATGAAACCCAAACCCGTTATATCCCATTCCGGGATATTCGGGTAATCATTCTTTAATTATACATTAAAATTTCAGAGTATTGAGGCATATTGGCATAGTATACAAGAATACCAACACAATGTACTATGAGAATCATAGTGTATCCTATGATGTTCATGGTACTATTACTATACATGTCTATTGGCGACACCTTCTAAATTTCAGGAAAAAGGCATACAATTTCTCTTCTATACTTATGTCGCACCTCCAGATTTAAAAAAATAAAAACCTATATCTTACAATTATGTTTGTATCTATTAAAATATTAACAAAATCTTTAAAAAAAATAGGATATAATGTAAAATTTACAGGCAGCAGGGAAACCACAGAGACAAAAAAATTAAAATGACCAAATGTAAACCAACAATATTGCAAATATTGTGAAACACATACCTAATTTATGATTATTATGCTTTTGAGGCAACTTTCATGTCTGGTTGTGTGCACGTGATTCGATAGCAGTCTGTCCTGTGACAACTAAGCAGAAAGGAATTTAATGATTTACAAATAATTTCTGACTAGCTTCTTGCTCGCTATCTCGTACGCGTGGAATTCAGAAATAGGATAAGCAAAGAAATAAACAACTTCTGAAGGGCATATCAAGCTTAAGGATACATCACTTTTTAAGTTAGATCTTAAGGAATATGACTGTGAAATCGCATCCAATTTGGTGAAGTAATTATTGCCTGATGCTGCGAAAAACATATAGGCAAACAGAAAGACAGAAAATTTCAAAAAAATATTGTTTTGGTATCTATTCGTCATCATATCAGCCTTTAACTGTTAAAGATAAGCTTCCCAGTTGGTAAGTTTTGCCAGTAGTTGCCACGCTTGACAGGTGGATTAGGAACCGCAGTTAGGCTTTAGAGTTATTTTCAGAGCAACGCTGCTGCTCATCATGCCCATGTCTCGTCCTTCCTTAGTCGTCTCTAATGACACTCACGGAAAAGGAAGGGGTCACCCATTCTATGCCGGGAACACACGGTGTTTGCATTTGGTATCTATTGCTCTTATTAAAACTTCCTATTTCATTCTGTCTTAATTATGGCCAAAGTACAAAATATATCATTTAGTTACAATTTTATTATATTAGTAAGATAGAGAAATGAAAGGTGTTCAAAATAAGTCCATACTGTACTAGATTGCTGCCGTGGAAATCCAATTATTTAAATATCGTATACATATTAACATGGACGTACATTCCCACAACAAAAACAATGACCGCCAATCTGGGCTATGAGCATCGACAGGATATTTGACTCACTAACATTGAATGCGCCTTAGTGGTAACAATGGCGCTCGTCACATAGTACTGTTCGTAAGTCATTCTGATTCGACTTAATGTTTATAATATGTAGATCACAAATGAAAACTAGAGGTTGACAGCTATTGTCAACAAGTTCCTTTGAATTAAGAACGACAAATCAATTTATTCGGAAGCGACTTCTATTCGGAAGGAAGAGGTGCTTAATTTATCGTGCATTCATTTGTGTTTTGAACTCATATTTATACTATTTTATTTACGTGTTAGTCCCATATTATATACTATACCATATCAGCTATTAGCCCTTCTTTGGATACTGGTGGAAATTTCCATCATAACATTGAGTGCCCAAATATTATATAAAAGAACAATTTTACTTTAATTTGATCGTGTCTGGATACTTTTTTAATGTCCATTGCAGAAAAAAAAAACATAGCTGTAATTTTTTTTTTTTCATTTTTCTTTTAATTTTGAACATGAATTATATCACCTTGATTTATTTCACCAATAAAAAAAATCATGCAAAGAAGGGTTAATTGTCTATCACTGCCTCAATTAACAGGCAGATTGACAACAGGCCTTTTGGATTAGGCCTTGGTGATATTTTAAGAGAGACACTGCTGCCCGCTTCTGGACTGTTAAGTTCTCTTAGT